GGGCCAACATGTCAGCTTTGGGCAGTGCAAATGAGATCTCCAAGCCAGGTGCAGCCCAGAGCAAGGATCAGATTGCATGAGATATATATATATATTTTATATTGTATATATATATATATAGTATATATATATATATTTTTTTTTAACCTCTAGGCTTTGCCTTCTAATCATGTTAGGTGAAACTAGTCTAGTTTAACAAGAGGTGAAGTCAACCTTTCACTCTGTTCGTGTACTCAGATATATGTCCTACCTTCTTTTGCCACCCTCCCCACCCCTGACTCTAAGGCTGCCTCTCTACCCTCCAACTCTGCTCAGACACGTAGAAGCCACGGATACAGTGCCAGCTTTTCTGTGACTGTGCTGCCCTCTGCTGGATTAAGGAGGTGAACTGCAAACACAGGGATTTCCGGGGAAAGGAACTTTCTGGAAAGGAATGGTTATGTGGCCTCTGGATAGCCTTTGTGGTCACTCCAGTCTGCTTGTTCACTGAAAATCAGGTCCAGGAGGTTGTGATGCAACTGCTGAGTATGGGGTGGAAAGATTCCTGGTGATTTCAATTCTTAGTTTAGAGGTTAGAAGCTGTCTGTGTACCATATGTGGACCAAGACATTTAAGACCGCAACAAAGTTTCTAGACAAAGTCATCGATCTTGAGTGATCGACAAAGTTGATCAGTTAGCTAACAAGGGATTAGTAAGATGACAAAGGTTTACTTGTTGGGGTGTGGAAAGAGCATGTGCAGTTGGGATGCGGATTTATTTAAAGCAACTAATTTAGGGAATAAATAAAGCCATGCCTAACTTGGTACAAGATTGCAGTTTCTTTGTGGTAGCAAAACTTCATGTCAGCTTGGGTGCTGTGGCATTTGCTGTGCTGGCATCCCATAGATGCAGTGCTGGTTGGAATCCCAACTGCTCCACTTCCAATTCAGCTTCTTTTCACTAAAGTATGCCTGTGAAGTAGAAGCAGATGACCCAAGCATTAGAATCGCTGCATTCATGTGGAAGACCAGGGTGGAGTTCCAGGCTCCTGGCTTTGATCTGGTCCAGCCCTGGCTCTTGTGACCATTTGAGGAGTGAACAAGCAGATGGAAGATCTATCACTCTGCATTTCAAAATAAATATACTGGGCCAGGTACTCTAGTGTAGCAAATTAAGCCTTGACTACAATGCTGATATCTCTGTATGGGCCGGTTTGAGCCCTGATTGATCTTCTTTCTTTTTTAAAGATTTATTTATTTTTACTAGGATGACAGTTTTACAGAGAGAAAGAGATACAGAGAGATATATCTTTCATCTCCTGGTTCACTCCCCAAGTGGCTGCAATAACCACAGCTGAGCCAATCTGAAGTCAGGAACTTCCTCTGGATCTTCCACGCAGGTGCAGGGTCCCAAGGCTTTGGGCCATCTTCAACTGCTTTCCCAGGCCACAAGCAGGGAGCTGGATGGGAAGTGCAGTAGCCAGGACAAGAACTGGTGCCCACATGGGATCTTGATATGTGCAAGGCAAGTATTTAGCCACTGAGCTATCGTGCCAGGTCCTTGATCCACTTTAGATCCACTTTTCATCCAGCTCCCTGCTTATGGCCTAGGAAAGCAGCAGCAGAAGATGGCTCAAGGCTGTAGAAGCTCTAGGCTGCTAGAATCTGAATAGTCCGGCCCTAGCCATATGACCATTTCAGGAGTGAACCAGAGGCTGGAAGGCTTCTCTTTTTCATTCCCTCTAACTTTTCCAAATAAATAATGTTTTTCTTAAAAAAAAAAAAGTAATTTTAATGCAGTTGATGCTGTGGTGTATGGGCTAAGCCTCTCTACCTGCAGTGCCAACATTTCATATGGCACTGGTTCATATGGTGGCTGTTCCACTTCTGATCTACTTCCCTCCATATGGCTTGGAAACCAGCAAAAGATGACTTACGTCTCTGGTCCCCTGTATCTGTGTGAGAGACTCAGAGGAATCTCCTGGCTTCTGGCTTTGGACTGACTCAGCTCTGGTCTTTGTAGGCATTTGGGGAGTGAACTGATGAATAGAAGATCAATCTCTCTCTCAGTTCTGCTTTTCAAATAACAATAAAATAAATATTTTAAAAACTATTTAAAAAGGAATTTTAATCATGCAGAAAAGTAGAGAACACAATATTACTCCAAATTCCAATCCTCAGATGATAACACAAATCTAAATTGTCCTTATGTATACACAGAAATAGATTAGATGGGTATATTTCCAAAGCCACAGATCGCTTGTAACATCTGCCAGCCAAATTCCACAATAAAACATATTAACATTTCCGCATATGACCCTTTACAGTGAGAAGCAAAAGATTACATAGAGCCTCTCTCAAGTTCAGTGAAGACTGCTGTGTGAAGACAAAACACCTTTGACTTCTCATAGCTTTTTATTTACTTAAATGTGCAGTGATCAGATTGACAAGACATCTTCCATCTGTTGGTTCCCCCCTCAAATGCCCGGGATAAAGCCAGGATCCTGGTACTCAGTTCACGCCACCCACTGCTGCAAGGGACCCATGTATTTTGTATTTATTTTCCCAGTTTTTCAGATTTCAGAATTGCAGGTAGGAATCTGTGGATTTGGGGGCCAGCATTGTGGCTGGCAAAAGTGGTAGATGCAACCTGCTACGCTGGCATCCCATATGGCTGCTGCCTCTTATCCCAGCTGTTCCACTTCCAATCCAGCTCCCTCCACATGGGAGTTGGGCATGTAAGCTCTGGTTCCTGCCTGGCCTAGCCCCAGCCGATTCAGCCATTAGAGTAGCGAACCAACAGGTAGAAGATCTGTCTTTCCCTCTCGCTTGGTGTCTCTCCTCTCCATAATTCTGCCTTTCAAATAAAGAAATACAACTTTAGAAGAAGTGGATCTGTACGTTCATACAACAGGATCATATAATATATATCATTTTATAGAGAAAAGCTATTTAATTAAATCTGCAATTAATTAAAAAGGGGAAGTGGACCGAAAAGAACGGTTTAACTTCCCATTAATATGTATCACGATGTTTTATTACTATCTGTTATAGGAGCTGGCATGGACTACATGCTGGGCAGGGGCAGTCACTGCATCCAGCGGTGGCCGCAGTGAGGGGCAGTGCACTTGTAGCAGGACCTTTTGGCACCCTCGGCCCAAGCATTGTGGGAATGGAAGAACACTGCCTCATTGTGGCCTCCCTAAGGCACGGGTGGTCCTTGGGTTGTGGCAGTGTGGGGCCCTGCAACATGTGTGTGATGATCTGGATCACCTTGTCCACCTCTGCGTGATCTTGTTGAAAAACACACACCTGCTGTCGACCTCCTGCTGGTAGCTGCAGCTCCAGCACACCTTGAGCAGAAAGCGATTCTCCTTCTCTTCTTTGGGGTACAGCATGCTGTTAACACTACTGGGAGAAGTGGATGCCCACAAAGCCTGGCTCTAGGGCTCCAGGGCCATGCACGGTCCCTCTGCCCGTCCCTCTGAGCTGCCCTACCGTCCGCAGGAAGGGTCAGGCCTGGACACTCCATCAAAGGAGGAGGCGGAGCTGCGCATTGTGTTGGTGCCCCTGGGGTAGGGCCCTTGGGTCTGGAGTATAAAGTCACTGCTCCCTTGTGTACCTAACCTTGGGTAACTGCTTCCGATTTCTCCTGCCAGTCTCTCCTCAACCTCTGTCCTCCCCAGGAGAGGTTATTTTCCTACAGATGTGTCTGAGGACAGTTGGGCCAGGAGTGGTAGCCTAGCGGCTAAAGTCCTCTCCTTGAAAGCGCCAGGATCCCATATGACCGCCAGTTCTTCCCATCCAGCTCCCTGCTTGTGGCCTGGGAAAGCAGTCGAGGACGGCCCAAGTGTTTGGGACCCTGCACCTGCGTTGGAGACCCTGGGGAGGTTCCTGGCGCTGCCTTCGGATCGACTCAGCTCTGGTCAGGTTGTGGCTACCTGAGGAGTGAATCAGTGGATGGAAGATCTTGTTCTCTGTCTCTACTCTTCTCTGTTTATCTGACTTTCCAATAAAAATACAATAAGTCTTTTTTTTTTTTTTTAAGAGAGAACAGTTAGGAGAATATTAAGAACCTGAGGTTACTATGTCGGAACCATTTTTGATAGGAATCTCTGCAGTATGTTCTCACAGTATTAGTACCACCAGAACCTCCCACAGCCTGAAATAAACACACACACACACACAGAACAATCCCAATAAGAACCCTGAAATTCACAGACAATATCATCTACTTGCTCAGATAACCAAAAAGCCCACTGTCATGTCAGGAAACATAAAAATGAATGTGTGAATCCGCAGACAGATCTTTCTGTCTGTCTCTCTTCTCTGTATAGCTGACTTTCTAATAAAAGTAAATAAATATGGGCCCGGCACCGTGGCCTAGTGGCTAAAGTCCTCACTTTGAACACGGCCCGGGATCCCATATGGGTTCCGGTTCTAATTCCCGGCAGCCCCACTTCCCATCCAGCTCCCTGCTTGTGACCTGGGAAATCAGTCAAAGATGGCTCAAAGCCTTGGGACCCTGCACACACGTGGGAGACCTGGAGGAAGTTCCTGGCTCCTGGCTTCAGGTCGGCGCAGCACCAGCCGTTGCGCTCACTTGGGGAGTGAATCATCGGACAGAAGATCTTCCTCTCTGTCTCTCCTACTCTCTGTACATCTGACTTAGTGATAAAAAAAAAATCCTTTAAGAAAAATGAAGTGTGTAGGCAAACCCTAATCGGATTCCAAAGAATTCATATGTAGTTTGATTAAACTCTGTGCTGCAATGTATTCTTGCTACAAATGTGACCAGCGTTTCTTGGTTTCAAATATGGTGATCTCTAAACCAAGCACTGTGAATTCAGTCTCAGCTTTCAGGGGTGCACCCAGTCAAGCACCGGTTCCCGCCTAAGCCCGGAAGCTGGTACGCGGAGGCGGGCCTCGGACCGCCCGGAGGCCACGCCCGCCGCATTCGCCACGCCCACCCGCTCGCCCCGCCCCTCAAGCAGCCATCTGCTGGAGAGCGGAAGTGACGCGACGGCCGCCGGAGGTGTCGTCGGTGTGGTTCGCGACTGGGCCTGAACGTGCCGAGGGTCTTATCCCGGGAAGCCTGAGCCATGTCGATTGAAATCGAGTCCTCGGAGTGAGTGCGGCGGGTGCCGGGAGGCTCAGGGCGAGGCGGGGAAGGCGTCCGAGCGGCTGCGGGCTGGGTGTGGGTTCTCGGTGGGCGCTCTCCTTGCCCACAAAGAGGCAGACCCGGGGTTGTCGCCGTCGCCGTGCTGGCACGGCCTGTGCAGGTGTCTCGGGGCGCCCCAGTGCCCAGCTCTCCCTGGACGCAGGGTCTGCCTTCGGGGTCGTCCTTCCAGCCCCGGCGCCCAGCTCTCCCTGGACGCAGGGTCTGCCTTCGGGGTCGTCCTTCCAACCTCAACGCCCAGCTCTCCCTGGTCGCAGGGTCTGCCTTCGGGGTCGTCCTTCCAGCCCCGGCGCCCAGCTCTCCCTGGTCGCAGGGTCTGCCTTCGGGGTCGTCCTTCCTGCCCCGGCGCCCAGCTCTCCCTGGACGCAGGGTCTGCCTTCGGGGTCGTCCTTCCAGCCCCGGCGCCCAGCTCTCCCTGGTCGCAGGGTCTGCCTTCGGGGTCGTCCAACCTCAACGCCCAGCTCTCCCTGGTCGCAGGGTCTGCCTTCGGGGTCGTCCCTCCAACCTCAACGTCCAGCTCTCCCTGGTCGCAGGGTCTGCCTTCGGGGTCGTCCTTCCAGCCCCAGTGCCCAGCTCTCCCTGGAGCGCAGTGACTGCCTTCGGGGTGACTGGACGACCAGCAGCCAGATCCGGCGCTGCAGTCTGGTTTTCCGTCGAGCTCTCTGTAGCCACCTGGGAGGAACAGAACCCACAGACTTGGCAGGGCCGCACCAGCACCTGGCAGTTGATCTAGCAGGCATAACATTGGTGTTTTAAGTATGAGGTAGAGAGAGAAGCTGCCCTGAGGGCCCGCCATCGGAGAAAGGGATGGTTATTCGTTCAACACATGTTGAAGTCTTTATTATGTGCTAGAGGCTGAAAGCACAGTGTTGAACCAGACAGACAAAAAAAAAAAAAAATCCTACCCCTGCACAACGTGCCATGCAATGGGCAAAAGCAGTGAGTAAAATTGGAAATGTGACAGATAAGCACATTGAGAAGAAAAATAAAGGATGGTAGAAAGTGCTGGAGGTTCTGTTGACCAAGGGCTGGGGCTGGAGGGATTGGAATGGTAGCTCCAGCTGTCATTCTCTCAGCCTGTCTGTAGCAGCAGTGTCTGTTTGCTAAGGACATTTTTTGGTTTGTTTTTAAGAGACAGTGCCCATCAGCCGGTTCACTCTCCCAGTGCTGGGTCTATGTGCTCCCTCTTAGCCGATACTATTCTAAGCGGTTCAGACATGATTATTATGTCTAAAACAACCCTAAGGTTCTGGTGCGGTGGCCTAGTGGCTAAAGTCCTAGCCTTGAACTCGCTAGGATCCCATATGGGCGCCAGTTCTAATCCTGGTGGCCCTGCTTCCCATCAAGCTCCCTGCCTGTGGCCTGGGAAAGCAGTTGAGGATGGCCCAAAGCCTTGGGACCCTGCACCTGCATGGGAGACCTGGAGGAGGTTCCTGGCTCCTGATTTTGGATCGGCACAGCACTGGCCTTTGTGGTTACTTTGTCTCCTCTTCTCTGTATACTACCTTTGCAATAAAAATAGAACAAATCTAAAAAAAAAAAAAAATAAAGTGAACACATAATGTTGATTATTTCTCTTCTGGGATAAGGCTTTGATTTAATCCAATCTGAAGTCCCTTGCAACCAGGAGAGTGACCCTTTATATTAGTACTGTCCAATAGGAATGCAGTGTGGCCCATGTATGCACATTAAAGGAAGAGAAAGACAAGTGCATCACATTGTCATCTGGTGAATTTGTGCAGTTATACAAATTCCTCACCAGACTTGTTATTAAGCTGAAGATCAAAAAAGTAGCTATAAATACGTATATTGAATTATAAATAAATTGCAATACATACCTGGTAAGTTTTCTGTCCAGTGTAGGAAGTGGTTACTTATTTTCCCAGTCTTTGGAATCTGTCTCAATCCATTTTTCTGGGAGAAATTGACTCCACAATGTTTTGTTTCACATGTCTTAAAAAAACTTGCTAATAGAGCCAGTGGGTGGTTGTATCTTTGCAAATAAAGAGGCATGGGCTTGTTTCCCAAAGGGACACAGTGCATGTACTTATTTATATTCAGGAAATACCCTTTAAGAAATTCTCAGTGTGTGTTTTACGTTTGACACTTTAAAAATAAGTCATTTTGCAACCATCTACATTATTTTGTATTGATGACTAGATCAGACTTAAAATATGTCACTGTTGTTGAAGTCTGCAACAGTATAATCATAAAAGTTAATCAGAAATGGCTGTGGCTTAGGAGATAAGAGTTGCCTTAGACCAACTTCCTTTCTAGCTGGTGGTGAGATGTCAGGAAATGCTTTTTCCTCTCTGAATCCCAGTTCTCCTGTTTCTGGCCTGCAGAGGTCTTCTAACGTAGATTCTGTAATAATTGGGGAGTTTTACCTATGTGATAAAGAAATGGAAAGTAGGTGGTGGAAGGTGGATGATTGACTAGGAGCAGCAAGCTGGTCGGTGACGGTGAGTGCCACTCTGAGCTGAATGACTTGTTCTCTTTCAGTGTGATCCGACTCATCATGCAGTACTTGAAGGAGAACAGTTTGCACCGGGCCTTAGCCACTCTGCAGGAAGAGACCACTGTGTCTTTGAATACCGTGGACAGCATTGAGAGTTTTGTGGCTGACATTAATAGTGGCCATTGGGATACTGTTTTACAGGCTATACAGTCTCTGAAACTGCCAGACAAAACCCTCATTGACCTGTATGAACAGGTAAGAGTGGCGGTGATGTTGGTCCCCATGGGTTAGTTTCTTGTGGGAAGTGTCATGCTGGAGGCCTGTAACAGCCCTTAAAACCTGTGCTGTATATGTAAAAATCTCCCCCACCCCCTTCTAGAAAGATCCAAGTTTTCCCCAGTTGGAATTGTCTCTTAATTGGTCACTAATGAATATTCTGGCACTTAGACTTAATGCTCTGGTGTTTCTGCGAACCCTGTTCTCCACAGGAGTGCCCTGATTGCAGATACTGCCTGCACTTTGGGGTCCATATCACCCACACTTTCGACTAGGAGTTTTTGTTGCTGTACCTCAGGAATGAGGGTGTGTCACCCACCTGTCATGTCACTATTTTCCCTAACCAGGAAGCTCCATTGAGGTTGTTCTTGGGGTTCATTATGTAAGCATGCCTGATAACTCAGTCTTCAGTCCGCTGCCCATTTCTGCACCCCACCAACCTCAAACCTCAGCCACCTTATCAGATGGCTTGGTCTTTCTTTTCAGTAATCCCTGCCCTAAGCCATCTCCGTAGTAAAACTTGGGTATGATTTAAGGAGTTCATGGGTAACTGATAGACTCCTATCACTGCAAGAATCCCAAGGGGGTTAGAAGCCATGAACCACAAGCCTAGGGCAAAGATTAGACAAGTTATTTCATAAAGCAGAGTAGATTTTGTGAAAGATTGTCATGTTCTCTAAGCTAGAAATAGGGGAGTTACTTTGTTTCTGTACAGTCCCTGATAGTTCAGTAATTCTGATAAGCAAATTTTGGTAGTTGGAGAAAGGTTTCCCTGGAGCCCATGGAGACAGTCCCACTTGTTGTCTCTTTTAGCATCTGTGGTCTGAACAAGAGGCAAAAGACAAGGACAGATTGGTAGAGAGAAAGAAACATTAGGATTTGGAATTTTTTTAAAAATTTGTGTATTTATTTTTATTGGAAAGGAAGATTTACAGAAAGAGATAAATAGAAACATCTTCCATTTGTTGGCTCACTCTCCAAGTGGCCACAAAAGCTGAAACGAGTCAGTCCGAAGCCAGGAACCAGGAGCTTCTTCCAGGTCTCCCATGTGGGTGCAGACGCCCAAGGCTTTGGGCCGTCCTGGACTGCTTTCCCAGGCCACAAGCAGGGGGAGCTGGATGGGAAGTGGAGGAGTTGGGACATGAAGCAGCACTTTTTGTTGTTGTTAAAAATTTATTTATTTTTGTTGAAAAGGCAGATTTACAGAGAGAAGGAAAGACAGAAAGATCTTCTATCTGTTGATTCACTCCTCAAGTGGCTGCAGCAGCTGGAGCTGAGCCAATCTGAAACCAGGCGCCAGGAGGTTCTTCTGGGTCTCCCACGCAGGTGCAGGAACCCAAGGCTTTGGGCTGTCTTCACCTGCTTTCTCAGGCCACAATCCGGGAGCTGGATGGGAAGCGGGGCTGCCAGGACACAGACCAGCGCCCATATGGGATCCTAGCACATGCAAGGCGAGGACTTTAGCTGCTAGGCTGCCACACCAGGCCCAGAGCTCAGCATTGTCAAGGCGAGGATCTAGCCACTGGGTCAGGCCCCCCTTTTTTTTTAAGTATTTATTTATTTTTACTTGAAAGGTAGATTTAGAGAAAGGTTGAGAGAGAGAAATTTTCATCTGCTAGTTCACTCCCCATATGGCTGCAGTGGCTGGAGCTGAGCTGATCAGGAGCCAGGAGACCGTGTAAGTCTCCTATGTGAGTGCAGGGGCCCGATGACTTGTTGCCTTCCCATAATCAGAGAGCTGGGTCAGAAGTGGATCAACTGGGATATGAACTTGTGCCCTTATGTAATGCCAAACGTACAGGCAGATGATTAGCTTGCTAGGCCACTAAACCTTGCTTGCCCCAGGGTTTGAATTTTTTTTTAACTTATTTATGATTACTTTCTGTCCACCTGAGATTGCTAGTGAAAAAGAAAAAGAAACATTTCCCAGTATTGGAAATCACTTTGGCAGGCTGTGTGTTGTCAGAAAACTTACAGTAACAACACTGTGCTGAACTGACCATTTTTCTGTACCTTCTCCAGGTTGTTCTGGAATTGATTGAGCTCCGTGAGCTGGGTGCTGCCAGATCTCTTCTGCGACAGACTGACCCTATGATCATGTTGAAACAGACACAGCCTGAGCGCTACATTCATCTGGAGAACCTCTTGGCCAGGTCTTACTTTGATCCTCGAGAGGTATGATGGTGGTTTTGAAAGAAGATTGTCTTAACTTTGGAAATGCACAGTTATGTGATTTTTTTTTTTTTACTATTTTATTCAACCCTTAAAAATTATTTAATTAGTTTCATTTTAGTGAGAGAGAGAGACAGACAGACTGTGAGAGATGTTTTTCCACCCACTGGTTCACAATCTAAGTGCCTGTAACAGCTAGATCAGAACCAGGCTGAAGCCAGGTGTCCTAAACTCAGTCTGGGTCTGTTCTTGGGTCTGCTTTAGTTGTAATTGGAATCTTGGACTTGAATTCGACATTCCACTTTGGACACAGGTGTCACTTGTCCCATTGTTGGGCAGATTTTGTTTTGCATATGATTTTTAAGATATTTATTATTTATTTGAAAAATACAGTGACAGACACGCAGAGATCTTCCATCTGCTGATTCATTCCCCACACATGCACAGTAACCAAGATGGAGCCAGGGTGAATCCAGGAGCCAGTGACGCAGTGTAGGCCTCCCACATAGTGGGGCAGGGACTCAAGTATTTGGTCCATATTAGAATGTGTGCATTAGTAAGAAGCTTGGCCACTAGGTTCCACATCTTCCCCTTGATTTGATTATTGAGAATGATGCTTTTCTGTTTATATGCTTTGACTGCAATTTGAATAATCTCATTCAACTTTCAGAGTGTTCTGCACATACTCCATTTTAGAGGATTCCGTGTTAATTAATAAAAAAGCAGAAATGTTATTCTGATGTCCTTGCCACTTTTGCCCAGCACTTACCTGGCCCTGCAGTATGGCCTGACTGCTGGGTGTTCAATGAGCGAGAGCGTTTGCCTCTGAGAGTACACTTTCTTCCAGCCCTGTCTGTGTCTACAGGCACAGAGTGGTGACTGATATTCTATGATTCCAAAGTTTTACTTTGTGTATACTTTATTCTGTGCTCCCTCTCTTCCTCCCTCCCTCCTTTCTTACCTTCCTTCCCTTCTTCCTCTCTCTCTCAACATTCTTTCTTTCTAGATTTCTTTCTTTGAAGATAACTTACAGAAGATCTTCGGTCTGCTGGTTCATTCCCCAAATGACTGCAGTGGCCAGGACTGGGCCATCCCAAATCCAGAAACGCAGAACTCTGTGTATCCCATATGGGTGGCACGGACAAAAACAGTTGGACCATCCTTTGTTGTTTTCCTAGGCTCATTAGCCTGGAATTGAAATGAAGCAGCCAGGACTTGAACTGGTGCTCATATGGGATGGTGGTGTTGTAGACAGTGGTTTAACCTGTAGTGCAACAATGTTGGCCCCAATTCTTTCACATCCAGCCTTTCACCTAGAAGCTTAGCAAAGTAGCAGAAAGGTCTGCCCTGTGGATGCAGGGGCCCAAAGATTTGAACCATTCTCTGCTGCTTTCTAAAGGGCATTAGCAGAGAGCTAGGTTGGAAGTGGAACAGCTGAACTTAAACTGGAGTGCATATATGATGCCAGCACTGGAGGTAGCTGTCTAATGTGCTGTACTACAGCACTGGTCCCTTAGTTGGCTTCTTGACAGATAGGCCAAACACCAACCTCAGGAATGAGGGTTTTTTTTTTTTTTTTTTAATGATTCTTTTTTTTTTTTTTTTTTTTTTAATTGGAAAGTCAGATATACAGAGAAGAGGAGAGACAGAGAGGAAGATCTTCTGTCTGCTGATTCATTCCCCAAATGACTGCAATGGCCAGAGTTGCGCTGATCCAAAGCCAGGAGCCTGGAGCCTCTTCCAGGTCTCCCATGTGTGTGCACGGTCCCAGGGCTTTGGGCTGTCCTTGACTGCTTTCCCAGGCCACAAGCAGCGGGGAGCTGGATGGGAAGTGGAGTAGTCGTTGGTATTAGAACTGGCACCCATATGGGATCCTGGCACGTGCAAGGCAAGGACTTCAGCTGCTAGGCTACCGTGCTGGACCTGAGGTATTTTTTTTTTTTTTTAAGATTTACGTATTTGTATTTGAAGGTATAATTACAGAGGAGAGAGAAAGGGAGAGAGAGATCTGTAGATGGCAGGGGCCCAAGGACTTCTGTCTTCCTCTGTTGCCATCTCTGGTCACTAGCAGGGAGGTTGGATCAGAAGTGGAACAGCTGGGACTCGAACTGGTGACCATGTTGGCATTGCAGGTGGAGGTTTAGTATGTAGCATCATGGTGCTGACCACCCCCCCCCCAAGTTAATTAAAAATCAATTATTTGTTAGAAGGACAATAGTTAGGGAGAGACAGAGATCCTCCATCCTCTGGGTTTCTTAAATGGCTGAAACCAGGACAAAGCCAAGGGCCAGGAGCTTCACTAGGTCTCCCACATGAGTGCAGAGGCCCAAGCACTTGGGCTATTTTTTGCTGCTTTCTAAGGTCGCTGGCAGGGAGCTGGATTGGAAGCAAAGCAGCCAGGTCTTGAACCAGTGCACATAAGGGATGCTGGCGCTGTAAGTGGTGGTTTAACTTGTTGGCTCCAGGAACTAGTTTTTGAAAACTAAATTAAGGGGTAGATTTTGTGGCGCAGCACACTAGACCACTGATTGCCATGCTGGCCTCCCATTTGAGAGTGCTAGTTTAAGTCCCAATTGCTTTGCTTCTGATAACAACTTCCTGGTAATGTGCTTTGGAGGGCAGTGGATAATGGCCCAAGTAGTATGTCTCCTGCCACCTACATGGGAGACCAGGATGGAGCTCTTGGCTTTTGACTGGCCCAGCCTGGCTGTTGTGGCCATTTGGGAAAAGAACAGCATGTGGAAGATGGAGTTCTCTGTGTCACTCGGCTTTTCAAACAAATAATAAATATTTAAAAATCAACACACAAAAAAGCACAAAAACAACAAACAAAAAGCAAAAGAAAAAGCAAGTTGGTTTAAGCCCCAGTCTCAATAGACTATTTTTGTTTTGAATAAACACACCCAGGTTTTCTAATTGTTTCTTAAAAATGACATTGTCCCCGCTCCTTTCACAGGCATACCCAGATGGAAGCAGCAAAGAGAAGAGAAGAGCGGCCATTGCCCAGGCGCTCGCTGGGGAAGTCAGCGTCGTGCCTCCATCTCGTCTCATGGCATTGCTGGGACAGGTAATTGAGTGTAGTTATCCTGAGCTCCTGGTACTATGTCTGTGTGTAAACTATATGTCTGAGTTAAAGAAATCAGACGTCCTAACAACTGGGGTCATACCAGCAGCTGAACCTTGCCACCTGCTCTTTCTCTCTGGGAAAGACCATCTAGATTAGTACGTAAGCATGTGAGCTCTAAAGTCAGGATTAGAGTAAGCAGGGCTTGCCATTGAGCCATAAAGCATTTTAAGTCACTGCTTGGAATGTCTTCAAATTCAAGATCAGAGAGCCTGGGATGGAGGCCTACCTCCATCTAGATCCAGCTTCCTGGTAGTGCCTTGAGAGGCAGCTGGTGACAGCCCATGGATTAGGGTCCTGCCATCCCCTGGAGAGACCTGGCTGATAGACCCCAACCAACTATTACAGATGTTTGTGGAGTAAACCAGTGGATGGGAGCTCGTTTTCTTTTTTCCTCCCATGCTTCCTCCCGCCCTTCCTCCTCTCCCTATAAAAACTAAGTAAATTTTTATGAATAGTATAGTTAGTACTAGACTGATTAAGGATATGTGGGTATGTCAGAAAGTTTGTGGGAAAGTACAATTAAAATTACATTTTGTGGCTGGTATTTGTCTTACTGGTTAAGATGCTATTTGGATGTCCCAGGCCTGCTGCCAATTCCTGCTAATGTGTGCCCTGGGGAGGTAACGAGCAGGGGCTCCTCGCAGTTGGGCCTTGCTCCCCATATGGAAGGTTTGGATTGAATTCTTTGTTCTTAGCTTCAGCTTGGCTGTTGTGTGTATTTGAAGAGTAAACAAGTGAATGAAAAATAGGTCTTTTTCTACCTTTGAAACAAATTTTGGAAAAATTTAAAAAGCTGCTTTATTTTGGTGTACAAAATTGGAACTCTGCCTACTAAAAGTCAGAAAATTTCATGGAAAACAATGTTAAAAAAGACTGCATGGGGCCTGGCGTGGTAGTCTAGCAGCTGAAATCCTTGCCTTGCACATGCCAGGATCCTATATGGGTGCTAGTTCTAATCCCGGCAGCTCCACTTCCCATCCAGCTCCCTGCTTGTGGCCTGGAAAAGCAGTTGAGGACAGCTCAAAGCCTTGGGATTCTGCACCCATGTGGGAGACCCAGAAGAGGCTCTGGGCTCTTGGCTTCAGATTGGCTCAGCTCCAGCTGTTGCTGCCACTTGAAGAGTGAACCAACAGATGGAAGATCTTCCTCTCTGTATACCTAACTTTCCAATAAAAATAAATCACTAAAAAAAACTAGATGAGTTTCTAATCTCTTTGCACAAAAATAAACTTACATTGTTTAGGATGTCAATTATTTATCTGTGGGAGGGAGGGATTGGTGTTGAGGAGGGATGGGGGAGAGAGAAAGATCTTCCTTCTCTGAAAATCTCTGCAACACTCAGGCTCTGTATGGGTCTCCCCTGTGGGTGGCAGAGTCCTAGATACTTCCAAGTCCTAGATACTTCCATCACCTGCTAGCTCTGAGGGTGCACATTAGCAGGAAGGAGGAATAAGAATCATCTGGCCCTGGAGCCTAGGTCCTTTCATGTGGGCTGTGGACATTTATCCCAACTGGTATCTGAAAGCTGCTATGTAAATGCTCAACCCAAAAGCTGTCTTTTAATTCTGTTTTCCCACAGAGTTTTTGCAGTATCCTCATATGAGGCTAAAGAATTGAGGAGATGGAATATAAAACGTTAACAGTAGCTTTTAAAAAAATTTGATTTGTGGCTGGTGCAATGGCTCTGCTGGCTACTCCTCCACCTCCAAGTGCCGGCATCCCATGAGGGTACCAATTCATGTCCCAGTAGTTCCACTTCCATCCAGCTCCCTGCTTGTGGTCTAGGAAAGCAGTCAAGGATGGCCCAAAGCTTTGGGACCCTGTTGGGAGATCTGGAAGAAGCTCCTGGTTCCTGGCTTCTGGTTGGCTCAGTTCTGGCCGTTATGGCTCCGTAGGAAGTAAACAGACAGAAAATCTTTATCTGTCTTTTCCTTCTGTCTGTAAATCTGCCTTTCCAATAAAAATAAATGCATCTTTTTAAAAAATGTATTTAAATGAGCAAGAACCTCGGAGCATACCCTACATCTGGGACCTGGGGAGGGTGGGAAATTGGGTGGGCCTTCTCCCTTAATACCCGCCTTTAAACATGAAGGAAATATGGAAATAATAGTCTTACCCACTTTCCTATAGCCCTTGAACCTTTTACCCTAATTAACTATGTAAGGATTGTCAAAAATATAATTTAAAAAAAAGATTTAAAAAAAGTATTTATTTCTTTGAAAGGCAAGTAGAAATTGGTAAACTAGTTGGCCACAACAGCTGGAGCCACAACAGCTCTTGGCTGAAGCCAGGAGCCAGGCACTTCATCCAGGTCCCCCAGGTAGATACCTGGGCCAGATCCTTCAGGATATTTGCTGCTTTCCCAGGTCCTTGCTGCACTAGCAGGAATGAGCTGGGGTTTGAACTGGAGCCCAAGTGGGATGCTGGCACTGCAGGTTGTGGCTTAATCTAGCCACAGCATAATGCCTGCTCTAGCATTGACTGTTGCTTGAGTGTTGGAACTATGGGAATTTTGTTTTCCACATTTTATTTATAATAAAAAACTCATGTATGGAAAATAGTTATGGATAGATTTCCTGGCTCTCAGTCCCTTTCTATGCCATTTGCTCCAGACATTACCCTTTCTGGCTTGATTTTGTCTAAGCAATCATGACTAGACCTGAAACATACCTGACTCCACTGCTGTACCTTGTTTTTCTCATAGGCACTGAAGTGGCAGCAGCACCAGGGGTTGCTTCCTCCTGGTATGACTATAGATTTGTTTAGAGGCAAAGCAGCTGTTAAGGATGTGGAAGAAGAAAAGTTTCCCACACAGCTGAGCAGGCACATTAAGGTAGGATCTTCAGACACTTGGCTAGTCAGTGATTGTATTTCCAATACTCCCTGTGCACTCACCCAGGGTATGTTCCTGAAACTTGGGAACTTGGGAAGGAGGACTTACTCTGTAGCTGTGACAACATTGAGCATTGGTATTGGCATACTGCTGTCTCCTAGCTGTGGCCCAGTTCAGACAGCAGAGCCAACAGGAAAACATTTAACATCTGGTCCATCACCTGCTCTGTTCTTCCTCCCAAGAAGCCTGCATGTCCAACATTGGTTACCTCTGCTATGAATCAACCCTAGCATCACCCAGAGTGAACATTTGTCCTGTTCAGTGTTTGTGTTTTGCCTGTTGTGGTGTGCATCTGGCAAATTCATGGATTATGAAGTGGGCACATGTAATGTTTGGGGAAAGTTTTTGTTTTTTTTTTTTTCATTTTAGGTGGTGATTCTTTGTTTTATTTTCAGTCTGAAACTTTTCTAGGAAAAAGTACAATTCAGTAATGCTGCATTTCTCAGAATTACAAGTGTATTGGCTGCTCTAAACATATTTTTATATTTATGATTTTGGTCATGGTTTGTGTTCTAATTGAATTTATAGATTTGGCAGTGCTTCATATTACTCAGATCTTTGGCTTAGGTTTGGTATTTTGGATTTGTCTATTCTGAATTACGTATTCTAACTTGCAACATATTTATTTACCCTAGCTTAAAGCCTCGAGACCAATAGAAATCCATGATAATGGATTTCTCAGCTCAGCTTTTCTGTGACGACCATTTTGTTTTTGTTTGCCCCAGATCCACTGGAGTAACACATCAGGCTGTATTTACTATAAAAATGATGCTGTTAGTGGCTAATTCTAGTAAAACTTCACTGTCTGAACTAATGGGATTGTTCAAGTCTCATGTTAAAATTGGTTTTTCCCTTTTTTGAAATAAATGTGTCCCATTCCGAAGCGTAGTTTCAACTGGATGTCAAACTTGTCCAAGACCATGCATCCACCAGCTCCTGTGTGTAGGTATAGGAACACTCCAGCAGTTCCCCGCAATCAGGACCGGCTGTGATTTTATGCTAGGGAAAAGTTTGTCAAAGGTTAAATGGAAGTTGTTTTAAGGATAAAATGCACCTGTTCATTATTTCATTTGAAACAGTTTGGCCAGAAATCCCATGTGGAGTGTGCTCGGTTTTCTCCAGATGGTCAGTATCTGGTAACTGGGTCTGTAGATGGCTTCATTGAAGTATGGAACTTCACTACTGGAAAAATTCGGAAGGTAAAGTATTTTAAATATATTAAGTCTCATAGTGGAAGAATTGATGACTTTTAATTGCTTATCTACGTCTTACCTTTAAGTCAACTTAGTTAAGGAAGAATTTGTAAGGAACATATACTATTTTTGTGATTTAAATGCCATTTAAGCTAAATTCTAAATTTATTTTATTAGGCAAGGGAGAATCTTATCTATTATTTTCATTTATTGTTTTCAATTTTTATTTGAAAGTGACACAAACAGGGAGCAAGAGAGGGAGAGATGTTTTCCAGCCATTGGCTTTTCTCCAAAGGGTGGCAGCAGGGTGGTCTGGGCCAGGCTGAAGCCAGGAGCCAGGAACTGCACTGTGATGTGGAATGCTACTTACAATGCTGGCACTGTCCTTTGGAAAATAAGCCAATGGCTGGAGAAGTAGCCACTTAACGTGCTGTACCACAATGTTGGCCCTGCTGTTCTTTTTATAATTAAAATATTTTGTAATACAAATCCATTAATTGGTGATTGGGTAAATGGCATATATGCGTAATAGAACACTATTTAACCACAAAAAAAATTATGAAATCCTGTTATTTGTGACGCCATGGGTGAGATTAGAGGTCATTCTGTTAAGTGACATAAACCAAACAGAGAGAGACAAATACTGCATGACCTCATATCATACATGGAGTCTTAACATTTTGCTCTTGTAGCAGCTGACAGTAGAATTATGGTTAGCAGAGGTGGGGGAGGGCGGGCTGGAAAGAGATGGGGAAAGGTTGATTATCAGATTCTGAATTACAGTTAGTTACGAGAAGTGCTAGTGTTCTGCTGCATAGTGGGCTTACTGTAGAGAACAGTACTGCATGTGTTTAAAAAAGAACTAAGCACATTGGGGCTTTTAATTGATTGGGACGATACTTTGCCAGCTTTACCTTCAGACCAGAGATGGTCTCACCAAGAAATTGTTGAACTCACTAGGATAATAAGACACTGGACTTTATGCTTGATAAATACTTCCAGTGAAAGAACCTCAACTGAATTTGAACTGTGGTAATGCAGCAAGGTGGAGAAATCCACCATGGGGAGAGGGTTCGGGGAGGGGTGGGGGGAATCCTAGTGCCTATAACACTGTGTCACATAATGCAATGCAATTAAAAAATAATAATAAATAAAAATAAAATTTAAAAAACTGCAGAGGAAAAAAAAAACTAAGCATTTTAGAGTAGTTTCATCATGAGTAGATGATAGGTGTTTGAGAGAAAGGTATGTTTACCCTCCTTTGAACAGTATGTGTAATATGTCAGTACATAACATAGCACCCTGAAAATATGGATAGTTAAAAATAAACATTAAAGTTTTTTTAAAAATGAATTTTTGAATGGGTAATATATATCTGACATAAAATTTAAAAATTAGAGAAAGTTATTTAGGAGTATCATTTTCACCTTGAGAGAGAGAGAGAGAGATCTTCCATCCTCTCTTCCACGCCATAAATGATTACAACAGCCAGGGTTGGGTCCAGCTGAAGCCAGGAGCTTCACCTGAGTTTTCCATACAGGAGCAGGGGCCCAAACCTTCGGGCCATCTGCCGCTGCTTTTCCAGGCACATTAGCAGAAAGTTGGAACAGGTGCAACAACCAGGACATGAACTGGTGCCTGTATGGAATACTGTTGCATGCTGTGCCTTTACCTGCTGCTTTGTATCCCTGGTGTCTCAGTTGGACTTTTTTAAAACCAGGAAGCAACAAGTATCAAAAAATAATGAAGATACTGTGTTTGAACAGTTGTTAATAAAAGAATCATTGTAAGTAGTGGTGTTAGGGGAAGTAACTTATTTTGGAAAAGATGTTTGGTTTCTAATAATGTCTTAAATAAAATTTATTACAGTTGTGAAAACTGTAAAGGAAGTGATCAGTAAATAAAACATCTAGGGTATTTATTTTTATACTATTAATTCAACATAGAAATTATTTCCAGTAATGCCAGTGGCTTCTTGGGAGCCTATGAGTGTAGCGCTGTTACCTGCTTTTGAAGTCTGCACAGTCCATTATCCTGCTTTTGTGGTTGTGGAGACCCGGGACCTCCGCTTTGTGTTGTTTTGATAACTGTTCACCATTGTTTCCTGTAGGATCTTAAGTACCAAGCCCAGGATAACTTTATGATGATGGATGACGCTGTCCTGTGCATGTGTTTCAGCAGAGATACAGAAATGTTAGCGACTGGGGCTCAAGATGGAAAAATCAAGGTATATATCAGGGATATGTAACCTCTTTTTTTTTTTCTTAAAGATTTAGTATTATTATTTTTTTTATTTCAAAGGCAAAGTTAGAAGGAGAGACAGTGAGGGAGGGCTCTTTTGGCTGCTGGTTTATTTCCCAGATGGCTGTGGCAGTCAGGGCTATACCAGGCCAAAGTTGAGCCTGGAACTCAAATCTCCCACATGAGTGGCAAGGACCCTAGCACTTGGCCTTTGATATCTGCTGTCCCAAGCACATTAGCAGGAGGAAGCTGGATTGAAAGTGAAGCAGCTGGGACTTGAACTAGCACTCATATGTGATGCCAGTGTCACAGGTGGCTGCTTAACCTATGCCACAAGGCCGGCCCTGGACATGTGCTGCTAGAGGTAGACATTTTGAGAATCCTCATGATGAGATATGCATAACAAGGACTAGTGCTGAACATCAACTTAATGTTGATCTCTACTTCTTGCTAAATCCTAATAATAACTCTGGGGTGGTTTAATCATTGGTTTAAGGTGGCACTGCTGGTGAGTGATAGATCTCGGACTTCAGTCCAGATTTGCTCCCGCCTCCTTTTTACCAGTGGACTCACTGTACAATACACTTTGGATTTGTCTTTTTAGGGAATGGTCTGTAGTCTGTTAGCTGTGGCTTGAACTTAACTTCTGGTAGTACACCCTGGGCTAGATAATAGACAGAAATGGTCTCTGCTAAGTGAACCCAGGGTCTGAATATTTGTTTTAATAATTTACAAGGAAAGAGTCCTAAGTTTCAGAGGATTCAATTATCACTGTACTATTTGGACCAGACATATCATATTCATCTATTAGCATGCATTTTTAATACTGTTTTGGTACATTAGTGAGCATTGACTATTGCTTGGCTCTGTGGCCTATATTAGGATACTATTATTTATAAGTTGAAACTTCTTTTCTTAAATAAAGGTGTGGAAGATTCAGAGTGGACAGTGTTTAAGGAGATTTGAAAGAGCGCACAGCAAAGGTGTCACCTGTCTGAGCTTTTCTAAGGATAGCAGTCAGATCCTTAGTGCCTCTTTTGACCAGACAATCAGGTGAGTGAAAGTCCCAGTGATGCCCTCACTTGGATTTTGTATGATTAGGACCCAGAGGGAAGTGCCGGTGATGGGAGGCAGAGGCAGGGCTCCCATCCACTGGCTCATTGCCTCAGGTGCTTGCAACAGGCAGGGTGGGCCGGGCTGAAGCAGGGAATGCAGTCGAGGTCTCTGGTGTCATTGACACAAGCAGTTACTTGCTGCCTCACAGAGTCTGCATTTGCAGGAAGCTAGGAACTGAACCCAGCTGCTGTGATGTGGTTCCTGGGTGTGTTAATAAATCAGAGGCTAAATGCCTGCTTTTACAGGGTGTGACATGACATGACATGAGATGACATTGTAAGTGAGGTTATCTGAGACTTCACTTTCCCAAAGTACAGCTGACACAGTGCTGTTCTTATGTCCACTTGAGTTTTTATTCAGGAGATAAGGATTTCTTGTTCTCAGAATATAGCCTGTATTTCTGGTTTTCAGAATATAGTCTGTGGACCCACCTGTACCTTAATCACCCTCACAAATTTGGATTTCTGACACCCAGCTGAGACCTACTATTTGTAAATCTTTTGTTAACTTTTTTTTTCAAGCAGTCCTGTTCTGAAAAGGAGCTTATGGTATTATTCATAGGTTCTCTTCTAGTCTGCTTCTGTACAAGGCTTTTGTTTCTGATCCTTGTTTAGCATAATAAAGATCATAGTACATTCACAAGTGCACAGTATATTCCCAAATACGCCCTCTTCCTTCCCTTAATAACATGAACTTTTATGAGTTATATAATATTTAGAAGATTAATTGTTCTCTTCATTCATGATAGAATTCATGGTTTAAAATCTGGAAAAACACTGAAGGAATTCCGTGGCCATTCCTCCTTTGTTAATGAAGCAACATTTACACAAGATGGACATTACATCATTAGTGCGTCTTCTGATGGCACTGTAAAGGTTAAGTATCTGCTGCTGGCTTATTTCGGGGTGTCTGTTTCACTGTTGCCCTTTGAAGGGTTTTTGATGCTGATAGTGGTGTGATTGTGGTGGAGTAAGCCTCTTTACCAGCCACTTTAGACAGCAAAATCGAGTTGCTGTGAGACAATGATATTCTATAGATATATTTCTAAATTTTTTCAAAATCTTAATTTTATTTTTATTACTGTTTGCATAGTTGAGGCATACATGAATATATGGACTTCTGATTATGATGGGGAGGGCTGTGGCATGGAGGAAGGTAGGTGGGACAAATATTTCACTTTTTTTTCCCCCCTGTGCTCACAGAGCAGGAAGGGAAGGGGACCGCTCCTTGCTGTCAGACTACATTATCACCCAGGGGCATTTGATGATGCCTTAGAGACTCCAAAATAGGGAAGATTGTTTCAAGGGTGATACTTGAGTGGTTTTGATAGTTGTCAGCTTCATTGTCCCAGGATTGAGAAAAATTTTCCAAGGTCTGTTGGCTGACCAAGTCCACCTTAGTGCATCTGCAGACCCAGACTTGCTGCAAAGCTTGGCCAGGAGAGTTGTCCAGTTGTTCTGCTATCTGTTCTCTGCTGGCCTAGATGAGCTGGCTGTCATGTCTACCATGTGTGTCTGGGTGTGCTGTCCACTGCACAGGCCTAGTCCTAATACATGCATTCTGAGGTCAGACTACATATATGTGATTTTCTCTGTACCTGGGGTTTGAGTCCAGTGATCTAGATGGGGCGTTCCCCCAAGAAACCTTGCCTGAGGTGACCTCAGATTTTATTTATTTATTTATTTATTTATTTATTTATTTATTTATTTTTTAAATTGGAAAGTCAGATATACAGAGAGGAGAAAGAAAGGACGATCTTCCATCTGATGGTTTACTCCCCAAGTGGCCGCAATGGCTGTAGCTGAACCTATCCAAAGCCAAGAGCCTGGAACCCCTTCTGGATCTCCCATGTAGGTGCAGGGTCCAAGGCCTTGGGCTATCCTCGACTGCTTTCCCAGGCCGCAAGCAGAGAGCTAGATGGGAAGTGGAGCCACCAGGATTAGAATACCAGTGCCCACATAGGATCCTGGCATGTCCAAAGTGAGGACTTTAGCTGCTAGGCTACCGCATTGGACCCTCAGGTTTGATCCTTAATGTGTGCTAACCAATGAGGGGTCAGGTTTGGTCCATCAACCACACCAGCTATTGCACTTACCAGTGAATGCAGCTGGCTGGTCAGTTCTGTTCCCAGCCCTATCTGTCTTGCAAACCAACAGGTACTGCATCCTAGCCCAGCCCAGCCCACCATAGGCGTGGTGCTCACACCAGCACATGTCACAGCCTAGTTGAGGTAACCCATAGTATGCTCAGCAAGCCCACCCCCAGTGCTGTTTTTTGCACATGCTAGCTTGTGCTGTGGCCTAGCTGGGCTGGCATAGCCCAGCCGCCCATCCAGCTCTTTTGCACACCTATGGGTGCTGCAGCCTAGCTCAGCCTGACTTGCCCCAAGACCTGGTCTGCACACATGCTGGCAGAATGTGCCACTCTATCCAGCCTGATATGCCCCCAGCCCTGGCTCTTGTGCTCATCAGTGGGAGCCTTACAGGGGAGTGCATGGGTCATCTCGATTGGTCTAAGGATCCCAAATCTCAGCCCTCTACAGTCCAACAAACTTATCATGTGTGGGCAAAAGGAAAGAGTATGGAGCCCTAAGCTTCAGCCATGCCCTCTTACTTTGCCGTAGATAAGGTCCCCTTCCAACAGACAAATTGACAAAGGGCTTGGCATCCAAGTAAATCAACTTCTCCTGACGGCATTGTAAAGGAGTAGGAGAGTAGAACTGAGCCCTCCCTTGTTTACTGCCCTCATCTCTCAGCCACAAATGATGATTCTTCAGAACCTTAAAAGATGTAGTTATTAGAAGGATAGGATTCATTTCCTGGAAAAGATAGAAGAAACCCCAATAGAAAGTTGTTGAGATCCTTGAGACAGTCCATTAACATTCTAGACCTGCTTCTAAAAGGCCTTACTTGAGTGAGTGCTTTGTGGCAGAAGATTTGGACATTTGAGATGCTTGGTTTTGAAAGAATTGCACCAGAACTGAAGGCAGAAGAGGTCCTGTCCCTCGGGGCGGGTGGGGACAAATGTGGAGCTCTTCCACTGCTGCACTTACGGGCCACCCAACTTCAAAGTGCCATTGGGAAGTGATTTTTCTAGACTCTGCTTTGTGGTCTTCTCCCTTAGTTCTGCAGTGAAGAAGGGTAAAGCATCTCGGGTTTTCTGGACAGACTAGGAGTCAAAACTTTTTCTTCCTTTTTTAAATTTGTATTTGAGAGGCAGAGACACAGAAAAGAAGCCCCTACCGACTGGTTCACTCCCCCTAGAGCCTGCAGCAGCTGCAGCGGGGCCAGGCCAAAGATGGGGAGCCAGGAACCAAGTACAAGTCTTTCACCTGAGTGGCCATCCACTGCTGCCTCCCAGAGTGTGCGTTAGTGGAAAGCTGGAGTCAGGAGAGGGAATGAGACACATGCCCAGCTGCTCCAATTCCAGGTGCCAAATGCCAACCCTTGCTTGGGAACTCATGACCCCGGAGATGTTCCTTTTTCTCACAGGCAAATAGGCTTCAGAGGAGAGGTTGGGGTAGGAGATTGTTCACAGACAGGTTGGAAGGGAACTACTGTTTGCTTCTGATGAGGACTGCTTGTGAAGCATTGGTGTTGTGTCTGACTCTGGCAGCACAGAGGAAACACAGTATTGTGTGGACTGTGCCATGCTGTTTGATCCATCCCTTTTGTAAGCTCGTCTCAGATATCTGTGCTGATTTAACCCCTTCAGTTCATAAGCACCTAGGATGACAGCATTATGGCTGGTAACTATCCCTTGCAGAGATGTTGGGCTGAGAAGGAATATGAGTGGCCAGTAGTAGTTGCCATTAAATGGATCCTCGTATGTGTGCTGAGACTGTGACTTATGTTGTAGACAATATAAACTGTGCTAAGATCATGTGAAACTTTTAAAATATGCTCATGTTTATGCTTCATCGCAGGCCTACCAAGTCAGAGCCTCAGGACAGGGTCCTACACTAAAAAGTCCCTTTTTAAAAAATTATTTGAAAGACAAACGAGAGAAAGAAAGATCCCATTTTCTTACTCACTTCTCAACTTCTCAAAGGATTGCAGTGGCCAATGCTGGGCCAGGCTAAGTAAGGCTCAGAGCGAAAAACTCGGTCTGGTCTCCCACGTGGCTGGCAGGAACCCAAGCACTTGGGCCATCTGCTAGCTGTTGGGATATGCTAGCAAGAAACTGGATTGGAAGTAGAGGCATGCCTGTATCTAGAGACTCCAATATGGGGTGTATGTGTTCTAAGCAGTGGCTTTACCCACCATGCCACAAGGCCTGCCCCTTCCTGCTGCCAACAATTAGTTTTTTCTTTTTCTTTTTTTAAGACTTATTTTTATTGGAAAGGCAGATCAGATTTGTGTAGAGGAGAGACAGAAAGATCTTCCAAAAGGCCACAGTGACCAGAAAATTAGCTGATCCAAAGGCAGGAGCTAGGAGGTTCTTCTGGATCTCATATGTGGGTGCAGGGTCCCAAGGCTTTGGGCCATCGTCTATTGCTTTCCCAGGCCGTAAGAAGGAAGCTGGCAGGGAATTGGAGCAGCTGGGATATGAACTGGTGCCTGTTTGGGATCCTGACATTTGCAAAGTGGGGATTTAGCCATTGAGCCATTGTGCCGAGTTCCCATAGTTAGCTTGCATGCTTGCCTTTGGTGTGGGCGGGGGGGGGGGTTGTGTTTTATTTGAAAAACAGAGAGAGGAAGTAGTAGAGATCTTCTGTCTGCTGGTTTACTTCCTAGATGACCACATTGGCCAGACCACATTGGCCACAGGGCTGAAGCCAGGAGCTTCATCTGGGTCTCCATTTGGATGGCAGGAACCCAAGCACTTGGGCCATCTTCTGCTGCTTTCCGTGCCATTAGCAGGGAGCCAGACTGGAAGTGGAACAGCTGAAAGCTTGAATAACATCCATATGGGATGCTGGCATACCAGCCCAACACATAGTTAAAGACAGGAACTTTGTTAGCTAAGGAAGTACATGAAAGGTCATGGTTTTGAAAGTTTATTTAGTTTGTGACATTTGTTAATATAAGTTCTACAAATAGATGATGAGTGTTCACTCATTGTAAGGCAGGGTGTTTGGTTGGACTGAAAAATGAAGAAGCTTTTATTTCCTCTCAATTTTAAGTAACATAACTTTATGGTTTTTGTACTTTGAAACTCTGTGCCTCTCCAAATATTTATATGTTCAATGTCTTGTGTGGCAGATCTGGAATATGAAGACCACAGAATGTTCAAATACCTTTAAATCCCTGGGGAGTACCGCGGGGACAGACATTACTGTCAACAGTGTGATCTTACTTCCTAAGAACCCGGAGCACTTTGTGGTATGCAACAGGTCTAACACAGTGGTCATCATGAACATGCAGGGACAGGTGAGTACCTCTATACAGGCCCCAGGGGCCATCTCTAACCCAGCATGGCCAGGTCTCCAGTAACCAAATCTGGGTTTGCTGACACTGGAAGCTGTGGAGGCTCAGGTTAGTCCTACAATCTCGGTGCACCATGCCCCTACAAAGCATCTTTTAGGTGTCTCAGAAGTTACCTCCTGTCTTGGCAGTAGTTGCATATTACTGTTTTTTTTTTTTTTTTTTTAAATCCTTTGCAGAAATACAGCTCTGATTGGTCTTTAAGATTCCCTCAAGATCTTACTGAAAACTTGTTTGCTTGGGGAGACATGATGTGGTATGGATTACCAACTCGGGCTGTCTCCCAGATAGCACATGAGCTAAACTGGAACACTAATAAGAAAGAGACAACAGTGCCCTTGTGAGGTACATTAGTAATCAGGACACGTGCAAGGTTTCCCTGGGAATTTCACTTATGTGAACTGGGGGCATTAAGAAGTACAAGTCTAAGGTCATGTGCTGGGCGTGCATCATGATGCTACAGAAATGCTGGCCTTGACACTTGGGGGTCCTCCTGAGCATGAAGGAGACCCAAGGGCTGAGGCATACCAGTGGGATGTCGGTGTCCTGATGGGGGACAGCTGCTGGGCTAAATGTCTGTCCATGGAGTTTATAATTAGGGGCAGGCTGTGGTGCAATAGGTTGAGCTGCCCCCTGTAGTGCTCCACTTATGATCCATCTCATTGCTAATGTGCTTGGTAAAGCAGTGGAGTCTAGCTTAAGTGCTTGTGCCTCTGCACTAATGTGGGAGACCCAGATGAAGCTCCTTGCTCCTGGTTTTGGTATGGCCCAGCCCTATTTGGGGAGTAAACCATTGGATGGGAGATCTCATCTCTACCTCTCTGTGTGATCTCTATCTTTAAAATAAATATCTTTTAACTTAACATACAACTACTGTAAGTTTGCCACTATTATAGTTTTGAGAATATAACATTTTGAGCTTTTGGCCTTTTGAAATCAGTTGCTTGGGTAGGTGATGTAGTACGGTGGGTTAAGCTTCCTGTATCAGAATGGTATTTCAACTCCCGGTGCTTCTGCTGCTGATCTGCTCTCTGTTAATGCACTTGGGAGCAGCAGAATACAGTTCTTGGGCCCCTGCCACCCATGTGGCAAACTAGATTCCTCTAGCTCCTGGCTTCAGACTGGCACAGCACCGGCTGTTGGCAGGCATTTTCGGGAGTGAATCAGGGAATGGTAGATTCTTGGCTGTTCTGCCTTTCAAGTAGTTGAGAAATAAACATACCCTTAAAAAAGGAATTAAGGGCCCGGCGCGGTGGCGCAAGTGGTTAAGTCCTCGCCTTGCAACCCCGGGATCCCATATGGGCGCCGGTTCTAATCCCGGCAGCCCCGCTTCCCTTCCAGCTCCCTGCTTGTGGCCTGGGAAAGCAGTGGAGGACTACCCAAGGCTTTGGGAACCTGCACCCGTGCGGGAGACCCGGAAGAGGCTCCTGGCTTCGGATCAGCATAGTATCGGCCCGTTGCGCTCACTTGGGGAGTGAATCATCGGACGGAAGATCTTCCTCTCTCTCTCTCTCCTCTCTCTGTATATCCGCCTTTCCAATGAAAAAATAATAAAAATAAATCTTTAAAAAAAAAAAAAAAAGGAATTAAAAAGCTAGTTTTCCTCAGCTTGGTTTTGCTATGTAAAGCAGCAGGCCAGCTTCTTCCTGCATGGGGAAAACAGCTTGTGCTGTTAGAGGAGCCTTGGACACACGTGTCCAGAAAATGGCAAGCAAGTTATAATGGTGATTTGAGAATTGGCTTCGGGGTCATGTTGCTCAGTGGACTCAAGAGCAGGATAGATGACTTGTGTTGTAGAAATTCTAAACCTGCCATTGTAGCTAATCTAGTGAGTATTCCCAAGCAAGGGATGTAACACATGAGTGATCTGGTTAGGACTGGCAGTCTACCAAAGCACAAAATAATGTCAGCTCTCCAAGTGTTTCCTTAAAGATTATAGAGACAGAGCCATTCATTGGTTCACTCCCCAACTGGCTACAATGGCTGGGGCTGGTCTGATCAGAGACTAAGAGCCAGGAATTTCTTCTGGTTTTCCTTGTGGATACAAGGGCCGGGACTTGAACCTTCCTTCACTGGTTTCCTAGGCCATAAGCAGGAAGTTGGATCAGCAGTGGAGCAACAGGGACATGAACTGGCACCCATGACGTACCGGCACCACAGGCAGAGGCTTCCATCTACACAATGCCAGCTCCCCAAAAATGTCATTTTTAAATGCAGTTTTACAAATGTTTAAACTTCTATAAAGAGACGACCCATTGGTAATCCGTATCTTATTTTTGTCTTGGGGTGTGGTGTGATCTAGATTGTCAGAAGCTTCAGCTCCGGTAAGAGAGAAGGTGGTGACTTTGTCTGCTGTGCCCTCTCCCCCCGCGGTGAATGGATCTACTGTGTTGGGGAGGACTTTGTGCTCTACTGTTTCAGCACAGTCACTGGCAAACTGGAGAGAACTTTGACAGTGAGTATCACTAACCAAGGCAGCTGAGAAATTACAGCTAATGCTTGTGATTTTTAACTTCATTGTGCTTCAATATGAAAAATCCCAGAGGCATTTTTATATATATTGTATGAAATATATATAGTATAAAATTACTCCTTTATCAGGAAAAGCCATGTCAGGTAGCTAGGCTTTGTGTTCTGTACACAAAGCAAAGGAAAAGGAACATACTCACCTAGCCAGCCAGATTAGGCCTTCCTCGTGGGGCCGGAGGTGCTTTTCTCCATGTCCTGTGGAGGCGGGTTACTTGTACATCATCCTATCAAATTAAAATGTGTTTAAAACATTCAGCTCCATGTGTGATTAAAGTACCTAGAGTAATGCATGCCAGGTGCTATAACAGATAATCTCCTGATCTCAGTGGCTTAACACAATTCAAGTTTATTATGTTGCTACGTGATGGGAGTCGAATAGTTCTCCCTCCCATCCCCTTTGGAATAACTGCCTCAAGACCTCTTCCTTCTCTCCTGGTTCAGGAAGGCTGGCTTGGATTCATTGTAAACTTGTGCCACCTCACCCTGTGCTTTGTGTCTCTAGGTTCATGAGAAGGATGTGATTGGCATTGCCCATCACCCTCATCAGAACTTGATTGCTACCTACAGTGAAGATGGACTTCTAAAACTCTGGAAACCGTAACACTCTCGGCCAGCTTGGAAGCATGTCCTTCAATGAAGACGTACTTATGTGTCACTCCCCCACCCCCGCCAAAGCCAGCTTTTCTAAGCAAATGAACTGTCTGAACTAGCCACAATAATTTTGTGAGAATTCATGTCTAAGTAGCAGTAATGCTTTTTTAAAAAATGTATTTTGAAGGTAATTAGTTTATCTGCTTTAACTGGGGCTGTCACTTAATGTTTTCATTAATCTACCTAGAGTGAAATTCTGGCATTTCTAGAAAAATATTATACTCCTTTGATTATCTAAATGTGCCTCCTATTCTAGAACTTGTAAATAAGAACTACCCCATATTCAATAGGTTTTTTTTTTTTAAGTTAATAAACTTTACATTTTCTGGAGATTTGTTTTTGCACACAAAATGCTCATTTAGTTAACATATTTGGTTAGAATCCAGGGGAGAGAGGATACATCATCTCTGAATCTCAAATCCAACCTGTAGGCCAGGTGATGCCATCTTGGTTTTGAGCTGTGCCTTCACCCGCATTCAGCAAATGCTATCATGTAGATGGGACTAGCTGCAGGAACAATATGAGCACTGTTGGGCCACTTTCCTTTTGCATGTAGAGGAGCTGGCATTCAAAGAACCTGGACATTTTCAAGTTTTACAATATGCAGAAACACTGGTTGGTTGAAAAAACACTGAAAAGCCAGCAAAAGCCTTATACTTTGTGTAGTCTCAATTTTCAACCAGACAGTATAAAGCCTGTATGATATATGAAAGTACAATGCTAGTACCATTTCAAAAATCACATTTTAGGATGTTTCTGCAGGCTTTTTTTTTTATTATTATTGGAAAGGCAGATATACAGAGAGGTGGAAAGACAGAGGAAGATCTTCCATTTGATGATTCACTCCCCAAGTGACCACAATGGCTGGAGCCAAGCCAATCCAAAGCCAGGAGCCAGGAACTCTTCCAGGTATCCCACACAGGTGCAGGGTCCCAAGGCTTTGGGCCATCCTCAACTGATTTCCCAGGCCACAAGCAGGGAGCTGGATGGGAAGCATGGTTGCTGGGATTAGAACCGGTGACCATATGGGATCCTGGGGCACGTGCCAAGGCGAGGACCTTAACCACTATGCTATCGTGCTGGGCCCTCTGCAGACCTTTTATGTCTACTTTTACAGTTGCCAATCTTAGGTTAAAAACTTGAGGGAGCTGTGTAAAATTTTGCAATCTTGGGCTTGGCACAATGGCTCAATTGGCTAATACTTGCCCTTTTAGCACTGGGCTCCCATGTCACTGCTTCATGTTCTGCCTGCTTCATTTTCCATCCAGCTCCATGTTTGTGGCCTGGCAAAGCAGTGGAGGAAGGCCCAGAGTGTTGGACCCCTGCACCTGCGTGGGAGACCTGGAGGAAGCTTCTGCATCAGCTCAGCTCAGCTCCAGCCATTGTGTCCACTGGAGGAGTGAACTAGTGGGTGGAAGATCTCCAGGAAAAATTTTAAAAAAAAGTTTTTTGCCATTTTATGATTTACCTCTGACCTGGATTTGTCCTGTACCTGACACTTGATTGTCTCAGTACTAACTGGTTGAATTAATTTTGAGCTGCACTAAGAAATCCATTTCCCAGTTACAGTGCCATGTGTGCCCTTTTGACTCAACATCATTTTGAAACTTCAAGATATTCCAGTAGGAGTTCACTTTTGCCCAGATGGCTCTGAACACAAAGCAAGCTCTTGGCCTTTCCCAAAGGTGCTGCAGCCAAAGCAAAGGCGTTCAAAGCCCAGTGTTGGAAGGCCCGCAGGCACACAGATCTGCACGTCATCTTCCACTCCATCCCATGTTACACAATCTTGAACAAAATGCTGACTACACAAAATACTATCCTAGAGGCAGCCCAAGTTACTTCAGGAAATACTCCCCCAGAACAAACATTCATTGCTATGTCAAGTTCCCCCAACTGCTGATTCTGCTAGGAATATGGGAAGCTATTTTCACGGAGGATCAGATCGAACAGGATCAGATCGAACAGGCTGTAAACACCGAGTGGTGGAGGTCACACCTGAAGAAGTGTTCACTGGCTACTATTTTAATTAGGCTGCTTTGGACATTCAGTAAAATTGTGATCACCTACACTTGAGGTCAGTTAGCTAATTAAAACTTAAAAAGCAGAAAGAGAAGATGTGTGTTCAGATGCTAAATAGCCTCAATAGTCAAGGTTGGGCCAGATCGCAGCCAAGAACTCCATCCTGGTCTCCCTTGTGGAGACTTCACAGGGACTGGGCCATCTGTTTTATCTTCCCAAGCACATACAGGAAACTGAATGGGAAACAGAGCACCTGGGACTCCTACCAGCATTCCAGGTATGGAATGCCACCAGTGTTTGAAAACTGTGGTTTACTTTCTGTGCCAAGTAGCTACACAGACCCTAGCATCACCTGTTGCCTCGCAGAATAAGCTTAAGCAGTAAGTTGGTTCACAAACTGAGGTAGGGTTTGATTTACATACTGAGATAAGCGCCTGTTTGAAGGCTATACTCAATGCCTGCTGCAGAAGGGTAGTCATTAGCTTGCCAGAAAAGCAAATTCTCCTCAACAGGATAATGACTAGCAGGGCCAGCAGGCAAGGTCAGATTTTGAGCTAGGAGTCAAAGGCAGTTTCCTGAGTTTTATTTTTGCTTTGTCCACGGTTGCTGATAATCAAATATACACAAAAAAGGTGCTAGAAACAGCATTTTGATATTGCTGTATATTTTCAGCACTCATTCATTTTAACATTTTAGGGGGTCTAGCTTGACTGTCACTATTTTTTTTAAGATTTTTGTTTTTATTGCAAAGTCAGATACACAGGAGAGACAGAGATGATTCACTCCCCAAGTGACTGCAATGGCTGGTGCTGTGCTGATCCGAAGCCAGGAGCCAGAAACTTCTAGGTCTCCCGTGCAGGTGCAGGGTCCCAAGGCTTTGGGCCGTCCTTGACTGATTTCCCAGGCCACAAGCAGGGAGCTGGATGGGAAGTGGAGCTGCCGGGATTAGAACCGGCGCCCATATGGGATCCTGGCATGTTCAAGGCAAGGACTTTAGCCACTAGGCCATGGCGCCGGGCCCTTAGAACTTAATTTTCCACTATTTCAAAAGGGAAGATAATACTATGCAGTATGCACTGCAATTGGAGCGTGTCTAAAAATTGAGACTGAAGGCTGCTACTATTTGACTTTCCATAGCCATTCTCAACAGTGATGAAAGAATGACTCTGCTGCTCCTACAGTGGCTGTATACAATTATGTAGATGCTGAGGTTACACTCAGTGCCAACACATCAAGATCCTTGGAAATTAGGAAGAAAGCAAAGCTATAAATTTTTTTGGGTAAGTGCAATTATGCCAAGACTGACAATCAAGTTATCTGGGGGACTGCCACTGTGGCATAGCAAATTAAGCCTCCACCTACATAGCAGTTCAAGTCCTGGGTGCTTCGTTTCTGTTCCAGCTTCCTCCTCTATACTAATGTGCCTAGGAAAGCAGTGGAAAATGGCCCAATACCGCGAGCCCCTCAACTGGGCCGGGAGACCCAGAAGCTTTGGGGCTCCTGACTTTGGCCTGGCCCAGAACCAGCCACTGTGGTAAGTGACCCTGTGAATGAAGATTCTGTCTCCTCCTCTTCCTTTCAAATAAATCATAATTACGCACAAAAATTTATGAAACTAATTTCACATACTGCATCTCTCAAGGGATCCATTATCCTACAAGTATGAATGGGCAGAAACATTTCAGCAAAAACCTGCCAGGACTGCACTTGTGTGGAATTCATACTTCTGAGGACAACTTGCTAGCACTGAACAGCAAGCAAACATACCCTCTCCAGGATATTAGCCTTCTTTTGGTAAAACGTGAAATATTTCCTTTTTCCACTTAATGGCATCAATTGCTTATAATGCTGTATAACCATGACTATTTCTAAAATTTGTCCCAACTATGAACTCTGTGGGCCCAGTGGCTAAACCCTTACCTATAAAGCACCAGGATCCCATATGCCCAACTCATGCCGCAGCTTCTCCACTTCCCAACCAGCTCCCTGCTTAGCCTGGGAAAGCAGTAGGGAATGGGAGCCTGTACCCACGTAGGAGACCCACAAGCTCCTGATTTTTAATCGGTTCAGTTCTGGTCACTGCGGCCACTTGGCAAGTGGTTTGAAGGTCCTTCTGCCTTCTGACACAATCTTCAAACATGAACTCTGTAGCCAAGTTTTAGCAAGTTTTAAGATGCTGTTCCTGGGACCTCGTGTGTAGTCTAGTGGCTAATGTCCTCGCCTTATGTGTGCTGGGATCCTACCTGGGCACCACCTCTGATCCAGCTCCCTGCTTGAGGCCTGGGAAAGCAGTCGAGGACGGCCCAAAGCCTTGGGACCCTGCACCCGTGTGGGAAAGTGAAGCTGCTGGTTCCTGATGGGCTCAGCTTAGTTGTGGCCACTTTGGGAGCCAATCAGCAGATGGAGGATCTTTTCTCTTCTGTCAATCTTCCTAGTAAAATTACATCTTAAAAAAATTCCTTTTTATTGCTGAATAGACTGTGTAGATATCCTGTTGCAGGTAGGTGGTCAGAGTACTATTAAAGTAGCAAACACCAACTCTTATTGTTTATTGAGGTATAGACTCAATGCACCCTAACTGCTAGGTTGTGTAGTAACCAATGGGCTTTCTGAGCAGTCTCCTACTCAACACAGGGTTCCGTTTTCTCCACATTGTAATACTTCAGTAATTTGGATTACAGCTGTGCATCTCTCAAGTCATACAAAAACATTTCTGAAAACATAAAAATGTCTTAAAACTGAAATACATGTTCCACTACTGATATCTCCACAACTTTTAAGTAAAAACAGTAAAAACACCTCTTTTTATAAGCAAGGTTTGATTATTGCTTTCCTGAACATGGTTCAAATGCAAACATGCTCAGGTAACTGCCTTAAGGCAGCCCACACTGGGAGACAGCTGTCTAGAATGTCGACTCGTTGCCAACCCACTTTTTCACACCAAGTTTTAATTTCTCCTTTTAAACCTAATGTATCCTCTGAATGAAGCTAAGATACAGGTCACTTCAAAGGTGGAAATCCTTAGGGTTTCCTAGGTGTATTAGGTACAGAATCAAAGACTGCCTGGCCATAAAGTTCCCTTGTCTTCTCACACTGGTGACTGTAGTTTTTGAAGCTCCCTTTCTTGGGCTCCCTACCCAGTCCCTCCGCTTTTGTGACTCCCCATATTTGCTTAACATTAGGTGACTCGACAGCATTTTTGGGTATTACTAATTTTAACTAGCTAAGATGAAGTTATGTACTATAAGTCAGAAGACAATGCTTTGATGGATCAGGGAAAAAAAAGCCTGTAGTGACACATTAGAATGCTTTGTATCAGTATATTAATCAGTATATTAAGGAGACAGTCATACATTTCAAGAATTGCTTAAATTCTGATATCCAGATTTTAAGCATATGAACATGACTTCAACATACAATTTAAAGCTACTCATTATTTGCTATACTACCAACATTAAATGACAATTACTTTGGAGCATAAATGGTTTAAAGTAAGCCTGTAACATACCTAAGAAATACCTTCCTATATTACACATGCAGATTATTTTCACATAAAGGTTTCTTTAATTTCTAAATGATCCAACTCTAGAAGTCAATGCTAAGGGGCTTATCATGGTCCAAAGAGGGGCCTGGTCAGCACAATGTTTTATATGTATATAAATTATAGATATATTTGTATGTTATTTCAAGAGATGGCAAAGAAGGGAATGCAATTCTAGAAGTACAAGTCCTCAAGATGCAGCATATTATAAACCCCTTCTTAGAGTGGTTTCTATCAGTTTTCACAGACTAGATTGTATAATATGCCATCTTCAAGTAACAGTTGAGGCAAGAGAATAAATCTGAGGCATCACAATGAATCCTACTTAACACAAACTAGACAGACCAACACTTGTCTACAAATTACTTTTTCTGATTGCCAGTTAAATAGTTTTAATTCCATAAGCTTCACAGGGAAGGGTCAGGCATGGAAGCCAACACATACACCTACATTTCAGTCTAAGCTTGTCCATGTAGACAGATGAAATCAGTTACAATGTATGGCTAACAAACGCTATGGGAACTTTTTAAATTAAGCTTTTACAGGTATTAAACTTCACCTTGCACACTGACGTCATCATACATATAGAGCAAAGTCAGAACTTTTATATTTTTGTTTATTCTTAACTTTTAAAACACTACTATAGTTGGATATTAAAACAAAAACAATAGCAAGTAGTGAGCATTTTATGGTTATAGTCCTCCACTCATTCATTCACTACTGCATATATGATGCCAGCCACTGGCCCATTACGAGGTTTGACACTGGACACCCCCTCTGGGGTGATGCTCATCATCCTCATACGCTTCTCCATTGTAATGGCGCCGTCTCTCCTGGTTTGGATCAAAGTCCACGAGTTCTACCTGATCCATTTCATCCGTCTCTTCTACCTCCTTCCTCTCAGGGAGAAGTTTTTCCAGCAAAGAGAGTTTATCAGGAGAGAGAAAGCCATTCTCGGGAAAGTTCACCTACAAAAAGAAATTTCTACTTTAGGTTCTTTCGATTCATCACAAGCTCCTTACACCAAGTATCAGGCACCAACTTGCAGAGAAAGCATGTGAGCCAGGTCCATCTACTAAACTCAGGTTAGCATACAAGTTCTAAAATTCAGTACCCAACACCTAAACAAGAATTATGATAAAAAGTTTTCAAAAAGATCCTACAAAAATAAGACTTTGTAACATTAAGATCTCATTTTGGCCCAGCATGGTGGCCTAGTGGCTGGAGTCCTCGCCTTGAACGCGCCAGGATCCCATATGGACGTCAGTTCTAATCCCGGACACCCTGCCTCCCATCCAGCTCCCTGCTTGTGGCCTGGTCGAGGACGGCCCAAAGTCTTGGGACCCTGCACCCGAGTGGGAAGCCTGGAAAAGCTCCTGGGTCCGGATTGGCACAGCACCAGCTGTTGTGGTCACTTGGAGAGTGACTCATCAGACGGAAGATATTTCTGTTTCTCCTCCTCCTCCTCTCTATATCTGACTTTGCAATAAAAATACATAAATCTTAAAAAAAAAAAAAAGCCAAAACACAATTTTGACACAATTTTTTTCAAGAGCTAATTTGCGCAAAAGACATTATCAAGAAAACCACATTCATCCAAAAGTGTTTCAATTAGTGCAACTGTGGCTAAGAGACCTACTTCAAAGGCTACAGGAAATGGCTAGGCTGCTTTGTGAATCACCCTATTAAATCAAGCAGCAGTGTTTCACCAAGAAATTAACAACAGGTATTACAAAGTGTCTCCACTAAACTTTTAAGATGCAATTCAATATCCAGGTTCCTTCCATTACCCTCTCTTTTCTCAACTGACCTAAAGCATCCTATTAGCAATACAAAAGAGATCTAACACAAAAGCAGCATTATCTCAATACACTCTTTCCTAGTAAGGATCTGGTATATACTCACCTTAAATTCAATGATTAGGCGACCTTTTTCATAAGGTCTACGGTAAATTGGCATGCCTTCATTTAGCACACACTTGATATCTCCATGCTTGACAATCTGACCTAAAAGCAAAGTCAAGATATTTTTAAACTGTGGTCATATTCTAATGGCACAGGGGGGAAAAAAAGGAAGGTCCTAGGCTCACTACCAGGAATAAACTTCTATGGCCAAGCAATCCTGTTACCTTTTATTTAAGGGTTTTCCAAGGCTCCTATAAAAGAGCCAAGCCTTTATGATTTCATCTCAGTCCCTGGAAGGATAATAACCAAAGAAGAAAAACAGCAGCTTCCTCTGAGCGCCTATCATCTAGAACACTATAGTAGAAAAGACAAAAAGACACACTTGTCTTGTTGCCATACCTGGGTGAGAGGTGATGACTATGGTTCGGTTGTCAAGAGTGGAAATTGGCTTTTGGAAACCACATAATGCTTCCACCAGTTGTATGTCCATACACATAAAAAGGTCTTCTCCTCGTCTGTATCAATGCAAACATGGCACATATTGACAATGTCCAAATCACCAATTACAAGCCACTTTATTTTTTTTTAAGCAACATCAGTGACATTTTTCAGAAAAACCTTTTTTTAAATCTTAGGAGGTTTGTTCCAGCAGGGCAGGAGCAGGATGGAGGTGGTGGTGATCAGAGGGGGAAAAAAGGGAAGGAAAGGGAGAAACAGAGGCCAGAAGGAGAAGAGAGAGACAGAGTTCATCTAGTGACCAGAGCCTCTTCTTTACCCTTTCTAAAGAAAAGCTGAGAACTGGGAAAACCAAATACCTGGAACTAACAACCCTGTTTCCTGGTCAAGGCTTTGGAATTTTTCCAAACGGCTTCTGTCACTAGCTATCCCTGAATTGTATCAGTATTCAATTAGAACGGTTTCATACGGGTGGCAAACTCTCCACACAGAGGCATAAAGAAAACAAGCATACATTAGGGACAGAGGATACTACACTGTAAGACAAAGCAAACCCGGGGCTGTTATTGATCATTTAGGCCCTTTGACATCCATCAAGGGATATGTCCAATTTCTACTGATGTACATAAATGTACCTGGAGCACTGTGAACACATCTTCTGATACTTTGCTTTTTTCCAATCTACCTTTAACCAGGGAGAGTATGCCCCCAGGGAAACTCTGAAGGACTGCCTTCAAACCACTGCACCTCTGAAATGAACTATTTCAGTATGAATTATCTGTGAAATAGCATTCACAACTAATTCTATACCAGTTACTTTAAGACACTGTCAATAACATTACTTCTAGTATTATGTTTGAAATTAGTGATAACACAACGAACATAAAACAGTCACTGTTAGCCACAACCATCTTGGGCTTACGTTTCATCACAAATTCAGTATTAACTGTTTTATACCAGTATACCAGAATTTCTCTGCAAGCATGTGTGCACAAACACAGACACACAAACTACACACAGCCTAACCTCTCTGCTATACCAAGTCAAGTAAATGAAATACACTTTACTCAAAATCTTTGTATGTTCCAATTAACAGTAAGAGAAATCACAGGAAAACAAAACGAAAGACTGCTGTGGCAAAGGAAGTTAAGCCTCTGCCTGTGAGGTCAGCAGCTCATATGGATGTAGGTTCAGAGATCTAGCTACATGCAACACAGCTCCCTACTAGTGTGCCTAGGAAAGCACAGGATGGACCAAGTGCTTGAGCCCCATGTAAGAAACTCAGAAGCAGTTCCTGGGCTTTGGCATGGCCTGGCTGTGGTGGTTGTGGCCTTTTGCAGAGCGAGGGAGTTAACTGGCTTCTATCCAAGATGTCCATCTAAATGATTAAAAATCTTTACCGAGTGAAAACAGCATGGTCCTTCTGATCTAACACAATGATGATATCTCCTGGCTCCAATCCTGGTTCTTGGTCTCCTTCACCATGGAATGTTATCTTTTGGCCATCCTTCATGCCTAAAAACAAAAGATTAACTTTGTACTTATTGAATATCAAACAATAAAGATTAAAAAAAAATACAACACAAAAAAAGCTTTGCGTGTGAGTGAATGAGACAGTAGTAGAGTGGACAGAGAAAATGAGTCTACGAGTACTAAATACCACAGAAATGACTCTCCCCACTAAAACAAAACCCTCATTACCTCAAATTTGCTACTGACGAAAACTATCACAGTGAACATCAAATTCAAACTCTAAAAGACAAAGCCCTCAACTAAGGTATCTTCTGGCTGGATTATCCTGGAGAAGCTGCATAACTTTACTTAATTCAAGTTTCCCAGAGACTTACCTCACTAGAGCTGTTACTGGTATCAAAATCAATGGCTGGCAAATATCGCAACCAATAACGATTTCAACCTTATCACTCACAAGAGCCTGAATCAAATAATTTTTACTCAATCTACTATCAGGGTAAATTGAGAGACTTCTTCCTATTACAGAAGTTGATGCACAGAAAATCTATGTATAAAGGTAAAAATTATTAAAAACGGATCAAGATCACTGTTTAGGGGCAGGTGTTTCGCACAGCAGCTAGGTTGGTGCCTGGGGCACTCACTCCCATATCTGAATATTTGGGTCCAGTTTCAGCTCCAGTCAACCCCAGCCTCCTGTTATGTACACCCTGAGGCAGCAGCCAAGAAGCTCAAGAAGCTCAAGCACCCGGGTTCCTGCCACTTAAGTGAGAGATCTGGACTCAGTTCCTATCATAAGTCTGACCCAGAGCCGGCTGCTGTGGGAATTTGAGGAGTCTACCAATGGACAGAAACCCCAGTTTGCCTTTCAAATAAAAGGAACTAAAAATTAAAAACCAAAAAAACAAAAACAAAATCAGCTGGACATAGGGTTGGCGGCACAAAGAGCAAATTTCCACTGCACATGCTTAAAAAGCAGAGTAATGCTGAACTTAAGGGCCAGGACATCGATTCTCTAGTCAATACATCCAGGTGAACAGGGTTCCAGAATGTACTGTCACACCTATGAACTAACCCATTCATGAGTTCCCTGTGCTACACCAAGGCTGTCCTCATTAAAAAGGAACAGACAGTTCTTAAAATGGTGACACAGAATAAAGATATCCCAGAAGAAACAACAACAAAAAAACATATGCTCTAGGAGTAAACTCAGAATAAAATACAAAGAAAAAAAGTTTAAGAAATAAAACGTTTTTATGTTAAGATTGTGCAGAAAGATCAATTACAAAAACGGACAAAGCACATTTAAAAACACGATGAGAAAGGTCAATTTTAGTGAGATCACATTCTTGGCCTAAACTCTTTCCAAATTCCTAGAAGGATGCATATTCTTTAACCCAATAGACTTCTAAGAAAACTCAAGAGAATTTAATTGTAATATTTAAAAAGGTAGAAGAACTAAGGTTGCACTGAAGTTTGGACCATCTCAATCATTTACAGTGCTAATGATGTCAAAGTTAATCCTGTTACATAAGCCTAAAATGATCAAATTTTCAATTTTGTGTATATCCCAGCATAGTATTTAGCTCAAAGTTAGTTAAGTGATATATTTACTACTCAATTTCAGTCTTCATAGGTGTCACATACAGGATCATGGGACAAGAGGTAAACTTGAGTTTAGACCATAAATAATCTAATTAGCGACAGGTTAACAGAGTATTAAGAAAACTGCTATGGTACTACATATTTCAGAATGCTACAGGCTCATAACTCACCTTTGTCAATATGAACTTCTAGAATTTTCTTCTCTCGAACTATTTTCCTTCCATTGCAGCTTTTACATCTGTCTTTAGGACTGATGCGTTCCCCATGGCCCTGGCACTCCATGCATACAGACTGAATTTGTTGAACCATTCCAGGTCCTATCTGATGAATTCTTATTTGCATTCCAGTCCCTCGGCAGTTGGGACAGCATTCCACTGCTCCCTTCTTACCTCCTCGGCCTAAACATTTAAAAAGAAAATTTAGTGGTAGATAAAGTAAGGAATTTATAAAACAGTTGTCCTAAGAATGTGTGTAACTTCTTTTATCGAATAAGAAAGCACTTCAGAATCTTAAACATTAAACATGTCAGAAGACCATACCTTCACATTTGTCGCAAATCACATTCTTCTGCAGAGCCAGTTTTCTTGTTGCACCATTATATAAGTCTTCTAAGGTTACTGACAGTTGATGTACAACATTTTTACCTAGGACAAAGTATTGCATATCAAAAATGTAAGATGTTGCATCTTATTTCTGTTGAAGGCAATCTCCCACAAAAGGTAAAACGTCTTACATGGCATAACATCTGCTGAGTACCTGCACACAAAATACATTGCCATATATAGTATTCAAATTGAAGGAAACTGGGGAAGAAGCTAGAAATGTAACTGAAAAACCACTTGAGACAACCTAATGTGTTTGTCATGATAATCTTTCAAGCTTTCACTTAGTGAAAGTTTTGATCAACATGGTCTATTGGCTCCAAAATTTTTTAGTGCAGTGAATCCTCACAAATTAAGACCAGCTACAGAAACTGATCTGAATTACCACAAGCGAGTATCCCCACTGCTCTGTGATGTGGAACGAACAAGCACATTTACTACTGTTCTGATACCTCCTTACACTCTTTATGATAGAGCTATCCAATCGGCTACAGGACCTAAAGCAGCCAACCAGTCATGTGTTGATAGAGCTTATAATGTGGTTGCCGTGGTAACGGAACTATATTACTTTTGTTTTACACTGAACTACAATTAGAATCATAACAGTCCAATGGCTACACAGGAGTGTCACATTCAGGATTACATAAAGACATCAAATCTACAGAACAGAAGTCATTGATCAATGGCTAGTTAGTAAGTTCCTAGACGGATCTTCTACCAGGACTTTATCCCATCTACAGCAGAAGAGTACGGCCTGAAAAAAAGCAAGCTGCTTTCTGTGCAACATACCCTAGGCGCCAGGACTGGTTTCTGAGTTTTAAAGTATCCCACTTAACCCATCTAACAGTGGATTCTTGGGGTAAAGGCACTAGAAAGGATCAAATGAGATCTGTGAGAAGGACCTTGAAACCAATGTTGCTCTGCTTTCTCCCAGGCTTGCAAAACCTATGAAGAATCTGACCTTATCCAAGGTGTTTAAAAGCACTCATTTGCTACCACTTGACTGGCTCAGCTACTTTCAGTTACACCAAATCTCATTCTAAAAAACCAGACCACATATCAAACAGACGCATTTAATGGCCGGCTTTTAACTTTACATCACTAGGTAAACAAGCAAAAAACTTGCTGTGACCCACAGCTACTGTAATCTGCAGCAGTCTATTCTTACCTCTCCGTTCTCTCTGCATCCTTCCTCCTCCTCCAAAAAACATATCGAAGATGTCCATGGGGGAGCCGAATCCACCTCCTGCTCCACCCTCCTTAATTGCCTGCTCTCCTCCTTTGTCATACAATTCCCTTTTCTTCGCATCAGAAAGAACTTCGTAAGCTTGAGAAATCTGTTTGAACTGTTTGAGAGGGGTCAACGCCGTTTTTTAGCACAAGTGTTACAAAGCATAGCCCCCCCCCTTCACCCTGGCCTGTTCAGAGCATGCGACTTACCTTTTCTCCTTCATTTGGATTCTTATCAGGGTGGTACTTCAAGGCCAGTTTCCTGTAAGCCTTTTTCAATTCTTCCTGGGTGGCATTGGGTTTGACCCCCAAAACATCGTAGTAAGTGGTTTCTTTCACCATTTTCTACAGCCTGAAAATAGAAACTACCAGTTTTAACCGGATTTCAACCAAGAGTCCTAATTAGTAGAATCAGAGCAGGCAGCTCTTTCTCCAATCTGAGAAGTACACAGCTTTCACTGAATTGCACACAAGCAATGACACCTAGGGCAATTCCAGCGATCACCCAGCAGCTGTTTAACAGAACAGACTGTATCGAAGCGAAGCACTACTAGGGACTGCAAAAGCCTTCTAGCAGCTGCTGGCCGCTCTCCCACCCCACAGCATGTGCGCTACCACCATCAACGCGACTCTACCCCGATCCTCCCCACAGGTGGCGACAAGCGGCCGTCATCAGAGGGGCCAAGGGCCTCGTCCACCGGCTCCCCCCGGGTTCTGTGGAGTCCGATCAGCGCCAGACGCGCCCCCGCAAAGAGCCGTTTGGACAGTCGGGGTGGTGGTGGGGGGAGAACAAGGTGAGGGAGTAGTTTTTCCAACTAGCCGTGACCGCCAGCAGCCTGCCCGCAGGGGCGTTTTTCCGGTCACACGGTTTTTTACAGCTTCCCGGGCCTAAACCCGGTCGCCCCCTACCTTCACCAAAAGCCGGCGTGGGGGGCTCCGGGCTGCGGCTTGAGGCCGCCCTGTTTCGCTTTCCTTCCTCTCCGCCCCTCCCCGGATCGCACCGAGTGGAAGGGGAAGCCCAGCCCTCAACAAAGAGAGCGAGCGAGCAGCAGCGCCGCCCGGCTCCTCCCGCAGCCCCTCGCCCCTGCCTCCCGGCGCGCGTGCGCAGCGGGGCCCACCGCCCCAACCCCCGAGCGCGGGCGAGGGGCCGCGGGGACGCGCACCTAGGGCCAGCCCCGGGCGGCCGCTGCTGCGGGACCTCCGGCTGCGAGGGGGCGAGCCGGGGAGGTCCAGGGGAGCAGGCCTGGCACTCGCTCTCTGCGTGCAGGGGCACCGCAGCCGCCTTCCGTAAACGAATCGCGCATCCAGGAACCGACAGCCCTCCCGCCCACGCGGAGCCAACCGCCTCCCCGACGGCGGCTCCATCCGGCTTCCCGGCGGTGTCAGTGACGCCAGTCAGGGGAACGAGGGTTAGCGGGAGGGTCGACACTCACCGGTGAGCGGGCTGAGGCCGGCCTGGGGGGAGCGGGGAAGGAGCGCGGACCGTGCGCAGCGAAGGCAGCGGCCACTCCGCCCCTACCCACCGAGCGTTCTGGAAAGTTCCGCCCGGCGCGCCGCAGCCGTCGTCTTTTGTAGCCGAGCCTGGGCGCGTCATCCGCCGGAAGTCCCGCCCCTCCGGGTTCTGCCACCGCCCCATGGTTACCTGGGCAACGGCGCGGGGGTGCTTGGACCGGGAAGAAGTGTGTCGAAGGGCCTTTGAGGGGGAGGGGGTGCTCGCCCGCGTCCCGGTGCTCGTGGAATCTTCTGGAGATTTCTCTCAGTGAGGCGGTCTCCGTCCGGTACGGGCAGAGTGTGGGAGCGGTGCCATTCCGAGGCGACTTGGTTTGCTCCTGTCAGTGGGGCCTCCATCGTTCCTCGGGTATAGGGCCCCGGGGTTGCTGCTGTGTGCGGAAGGGGAAGCTCTCGGATCAAAGTCCTGCACCCTCCCATCCCGCGGCTCCCCGTTTGGGCGCCTCTGCCCGCTTTCGTTCAGAGGTGTGAGGGGCTGGGAACCTGCCGGGCAAAATGCTGAGCCAGACAGGCCTGACCCTCTCCCCTGCCCCGGGCAGTCAGGCCGCGGAGCTGGCTCCCCTTCACTCGCCGTCCACGTGCCTTGTCACCAAACCGCCTAGGTATTACTGCTGTTAGCTCAAGGCCAGCCCCCTAGACGCGTTCTCAGACTTGATCTTGTTGGTTCCGGCAGGTAGCCGGGACTGAGCTGAACAGGAAAATGTTTGCAAGTGAGTGGAAGTGAGCTGAGCCAGTCGGCTCTTTGTCCAGGCTTTCACATCGTTTATAAGCAGAGTAACCGCAACATTAAAAATTACTTAAGCTCCTTTGCCAGTGGCATCCCATGTCGCTGGCTGGAGTCCTAGCTGCCCCACTTCTAATCTGCCGCTCTGCTAATGCACCTGCCAAAGCAGTGGAGCTCCGGTTCCTGCACCACATGGCAGAAGCTCGCGGCTCTGGCTTCATACCCACCCGATTCTGGGAGTTGCAGCGTGAACTAGCGGATCAAGACACCGCTTCCTGCTCTCCTTTTCTCTGTAACTCCTGCCTTTGAAGTAAATTTTGTTTTGTCCGATACCCAGTTTTTACAGTTGTAGCTGTTGACCTCTCAAGGACCACCTTTGGTATGAAGAGTCTTTAAACAATCCTTCGCAGTAAAAACTTTCATATTGCCAGGCAGTGTACTGAGCTTGGGAATGTAAAAAGCACGCGAGGGCAATTGGTCCCTGCTCTCAAGGAACTCACCGAAAAACTGAAAATAAAGAGATAGAGAGATAAAGACAAACCAAGCTTCTGACAAGGGGAACCTACTCACGTGAGTGTCCAGGCAGAGCCCAGCAAGTGTGAGAGCGTGAGTAGAGAACAGTAAACAGTAATGCTAAATGCTGCCCATGGAGTTGCAGTCTTAGTTACTTTTCATTGTAAAAACTACATTTGTGGAACTGACATTGGCTAAACACGTATGAAGGTATTTCAAAAGTTTGTGGAGAAATGGAATGAAAGATATTTAGGTACAAAAATTTATTGAAATCCGTGCTTTTTTATTAGTACATATTCTATGAACTTTCTGAAGACGTGTGTATCAAGCACTTTAGCCAAGAATTTCTGCAATAACTGTTACCATGTCTAGTATGTATTAAATAGGGTACCGTATTGTGTTTCTACTCCTTAGAACACAACTAAATTCCTACAGCTTTTAGATATGTGATACATACATGAAAAACCCTCTTTAACGAGTGCCAGTGTTAGATTGAAAAATCTATTTCTGAGAACTTTAAAATTTTCAAACTCATGTATTGAATTTTCAAAATGATTGATTTATTTAAAATGCAATGTTATAGAGCAAGATCTTTCCCGGAGTGGTCAGGGCTGGGCGAAGTTGAAGCCAGGAGCTTCATCCTGTTCTGCGTGGGTGTAGGGGCCCACACCCTTGGCACATCTGCTTTCCCAGGCGTATTAGCAGGGAAAGGATCAGAAGTGGAGCATCTGAGATACAAATTGGTGGTTGTGTGGGAGGATGACATTGCAGGTGGCATTCTAACTCATAATTATCACAATACTAGCTCCAAAAATTGCTTTAAAAAAGGAAAAATATGTTTTCTTGTACTGCATGTGCATAGAATGTTTCTGGGGGAAACTCAGAAGTGCATAATGAGAGGCTGCTTTTAGGAAAAGCTTGGTGCTGGGTAAAGGTAGGTAAGAGGAGGACATTACATAACAAACTCTTTTGTAACATGGATATTTCAGAGGCAGAGGATAGAGATCTTCTAGGTTCACTCCACAGAACTGTGGCAATCACTGGGGCAAGTCCAGGCAGGCGGGTCCAAGTACCTGAACCACCTTCCACTATTTTTCCAGGTACATTAACAGGGAGCTAGATTAGAAGCAGAATAGCCAGGGTTTGAACCAGTGATTCAATATGGGTTGCCAACATTACAGGCCTTAAACAGTCCTCAATCCTGACACTATTTTTCGATTTTTTAAAAATTTATTTTTATTGGAAGATCAACAGAAAAAAGGAGAGAGAGATTTTCTGTCCACTGGTTCACTTCTCAAGTGACCTCAATGAGCCAGTCTGAAGCCAAGAACCAGGAGTTTCTTCCGGGTCTCCCATGTGGGTGCAGGGTCCCAAGACTTTGGGCTGTCCTCAATTGCTTTCCCAGGCTACAGGCAGGGAGCTGGGTGGAAAGTGAAATAGCTTGAATACAAACCTAAACCCATATGGGCTCTGCAGATGCAAGGCAAGGATTTAACTATTAGGCTACCATGCCAGGTCTGTTATTTTTGAGGGGTTTTTAAATTTTATTTTACTTCTTTTTATCATTATCATTTTATGATACAGTTCCATAGGCCCTGGGATTTCTCTTATCCCCTCCTCAATTCCCTCTCCCCTCACTGAGTTCCCCTATATCATTACTATCGTATAGTTCATCGTACACAGTCATGTGTCAGTCACTGTGGGCATGGACAGTGGCAGAGAGTCCAGCATCCTATTGTCAAGATATGGTGAATAGTTTCATTGGGAGTCCATGTTTGTCCGGAAGTAGAGATGCATACTGCACTGTATCCTCACATCTGGATATGATAGTCTCCATTACACAGTTACTATACGTCCCCTTAAATGAAAAGCCACAATACAAAATCAACCTCAGAAAGAAAAATAGCAATCTACAATGCCATGAAGTTAAATAAACTGATGTGTCATTGATGAAAAAAAATCAAGAACCTTCTTGAGGAAAATGATGCTACTGTATGATCTATGAGTCTGTGAAGAATTTAATGAGAAGAAAGTGTTTTGAAGAGATGAAGCTAACAAAAAAAAGTCAAAATCCTTGATATAGTTTCTACTGATATTTGTTGGTGAGATATATCTCCTGTAGGTAACAAACAGATGATATTGTTTTTTAATCTGGTCTACTAATCTATGTTTGATGAATTTAAGCCATTTACATTCAGGGTTAATATGTATGGGTGGTAATTTGGTCCTGTCATTTTAGAAATGGGTTGTTCATTGATTTAGTCTTCTGTTATTATTTTACTGGGATGTTCTTCGCATTTACCTTTGGTTTTGGTGGGTGCTATTCCTTTTCTTTGTCAAGAGAACCTTTTTAAAAAGAGTTATTTATTTCTATTGCCAAGTCAGACATACAGAGAGGAGGAGAGACAAAGAGAAAGATCTTCCATCTGATAGTTCACTCCCCAAGCAGCCGTAATGGCTGGAACTGGGCCAATCCGAAGCCAGGAGCCAGAAGCCAGGAGCTCTTCCGGGTTTTCTATGCAGGTGCAGGGTCCCAAGGCTTTGGGCCGTCCTCGACTACCTTCCCAGGCCACAAACAGGGAGCTGGAAGGGAAGTGGAGCTGCCGGGATTAGAACCGGCACCCATATGGGATCCTGGTGCATTCAAGGAGAGGACTTTAGCCACTAGGCCACTGCACCGAGCCCAAGAGAACATCTTTACTCACTTATAACGCAGGTTTGGAAGAGGTATATTCTTTCAACTTTTCTTTACTGTGGAAGAATTTTATTTCATTTTCAAAGACAAAGAAAAGTTTTGCTGGATACATTTTCCTGGGCTGACAATTTTTTGCTTTTAGCATCTGGAATATGTTGCTCAGTTCTCTTCTGGCCTGTATAGTTTCCTGTGAGAGATCTCCTGTGAGTTTAATTGGCATTTCTTTATATGTCAATTGATTTTTTTCATGTGCACATTTAAGGATCTTTTCCTTATGTTCAATTGAAGAGAGCTTGATGATCATGTGTCTTGATGAAGATCGCTTTTGGTCAACCCTGTTGGGAGTTCTGTGCCTCTCCTGGATCTTGTTTCCCAATTGTTTCTCTAGATTAAGGAAATTTTCCCTTATTATTTCATTAAATACATTTTTAAACCCAGCTTCTCTTTCTGCACCTTCTGCAACTCCCATAACTCTTATATTTTGCCTTTTAATAGTGTCTTTCAATTCTTGAACACTTTTTTGGGCCTGATCCAGCTCTGCTTCCAGCTTTTTGTTTGTTTCCCCCTGGTGACAGGAAATATCTTCTAATTTTGAGTTTCTTTCTTCTGCCTCCTTCATTCTATTTTAGAGACTCTCCACTGTATTTTTAGTTTGCCCCATTGTATTCTTCATTTCTGATATATCAGCTTTCATTTGATTTATTTCCAGTGTGACATGTTCCTTGAATTCCTTGAATGCCTGCCTTACATGCTTCTCATTGTTGATAAGTTTTATAACAAGTGTTTTGAATTCTGTATCCCCCATTTTCTTGGGTTTTGTTCCTCTGTCTCTTCTTTTGTCATTGTACTTCTGGTTATCATTTTCTTCTCCTTGGGGCAGGCTTTTTTTTTTTTTTAAAGATTTATTTTTTATTATTTTATCATTGGAAAGGCGGATATACAGAGAGGAGAGACAGAGAGGAAGAACTTCCGTCCGATGATTCACTCCCCAAGTGAGCGCAACGGGCCGATACTATGCCGATCCGAAGCCAGGAGCCTCTTCCGGGTCTCCCACGCGGGTGCAGGTTCCCAAAGCTTTTGGGCTGTCCTCGACTGCTTTCCCAGGCCACAGGCAGGGAGCTGGAAGGGAAGCGGGGCTGCCGGGATTA